AGAGAGGGGTAGTAGTCGTAAAGAAGAAGAAAGAGAAAAATCAAGAATTATGCCCGTGAAGAAGAAATCCAAGGTATAAATAAAACCTCCCCCCTTTTTTGCTTTCACTTTTTTCCAACCAATACGCAAGTTCGATACATGTCGTTCCGCCTTCGTTACTGTTGTGGTTTCTTTTCGTTTTCCAAACTTTTCTCTCTTTTTTTAATCAAAGCTTTTTTTATTTTCTTTGTCTTTGGCGTCATGACTTGCCAGCTTCTTCTTCATTCATCTTGCGCTCCAGACTCCTAGTTGCTGCCGCCGCTGTACCCTTGACAGGCCGCGGACTCAGCACGACAGGAGTTGACTGCGCGATCCGAGTTTGGGATTCAGCAGACTTGATCGATGCGTCTTGACTCGCTCCTCCTGGTAGTACGCCCTCCTTGTCTCCCCCCAGCTTGCGCAATAGCATCGCCGACTGCTGTTGAGCGAGCTTCTCTAACTGCGCAGTGGGATCCTTGACATGAAACTCCACGTCAGCCACCCAGAATATGTACTCTATTTGGCTGCCTTAGCTTGATTAGTACGTACCCATTCGGACTGTGGCGGCACGCCCGCAGCTTCCGGCAGCGCTTTGCCAGAGGCATCGCGTCCCCGAGGAACTGGTGCCGGTGTGACCGGCAGGCTGGGCCGCTCCGCCTCAGTGGGGAAGTCAGTAACCTTGAAGGGACGCTGGGGCTCTTCCTGTTCATCATCTTCGTCGTCATTCTCTTCTCCTTCCTTGCCCCGGCTACTTGATCGGTGGCGCTTCTCGACGGCGTCCGCATACTTGGAGATGCCGGGAACTTCGTCCCAGGCATTACCACGCGAGTATGTTGTCCAGGATGCTGTTCCGGCCTCGCTCTGCTTGTCCGACGCCTTGGACACGGGTGACTTTGGAGGCGACTTTGTCACCGATGAACGACCAGTTGACTTGGCAGCAGTAGGGCCCGAGCGGGAGGCACCCTGTGGCTGCAGCTCCGGCTCATCACCGTAGAAAGATCTGGTAGCCTTGGGCTGGTTGGCCTCCCATGGGAAGATCTGACGGGGCGTCTGTTGGAAGTTGCCTCCTTGTGGTGTATCGAACTTTGTGTCGGCCAGAGAGGCGTTCCTAAATTGAACCGAGTTAGCTCTGAACATGTACGGTTTGGATATAGACAACAGCCTTACTTTTGAGACTCGTAAGCTTGGTTGTAGTTTCCACTGCCATTGGCAAGCTGAGAAATCTCCTAAAAATTCGCGCGTTAGCTACTGCACTCGTTCGTGGTCGTAAGCATTGTGTTTGATAGAAACTCACCTTCTCGCGGTAGTGGCGATCATACACTGCCCACCATCTGCCAACCATTTCGTCATAGGCAGAGCTTCCGTAGGAGGCATTGCGGCCTGCCTTCCACGGCTTGTCAGGTCCAATGAAGTGAACCAAGTTAATGCTGGACTGGAAATGACGATAGGCGGGAAGGTATTGGTAGTGTGCAGAGGGGGTGACGTTGTAGGTAAAGGGAAGACGGTGGAAGTTGTTCTTGAAGTAGGTGTTGAGGAGACCTTGATCGGCACCGTCAAAGGAGACGCCCCTCTCGGCCAGGCCAGCCAGGGCGTGGAAATCACCGTTGTTGGGCGTCAAGGCCAAGACACCGGTGTTGAAGATGTCGGGCCAACCGATATCAGGGGAGGCCGCAAAGGCGTGTGGGAGGTCGAAGAGCTCATCGGGGGCTCGGTAGGCGACGACGTCGGCGTCGAGGTAGACAATTCGAGAGAACTGCGTCTGCTTCCACAGGTTGATCTTGGTAAAGGCAGAGTGCAGGTCGGCACGGTTCATGAGGTAGAGGTTGGCAGGCGTGTTATTGCGGATTCGAGGCACAGGCAAGACATAGTCGTAGACGGTCTAATTCCCCGCACAAAGAGGAGAGAGGCGACCATGTCAGCAAATGATTCGTCTTATATGTATGTGTGTATGCTTGTATACATGGAGGTATGCATATCATTGTATACATCTCTACACAATATAGAGATGGGGCTTCTTGTCTTGACCAACATACCTTGAGCTGAACAATGGCATCAGCAGTGACGCCGTCAAGCGTGACCAGGACCGCGAGCTTCTTGGTGGTGCCGGCATCGCGCAACGAGTGGGCAAGAACCAGAGCACCTAGAGATTTCGGTTAGTAACAGCATTGTGAGAGCTTCGACCAGGGCCAACGTACCAGGAAGATAGGCATCGTTCAACAGAAGCTGTAGGCAACAGATGACAACGTTAGCTTGCTATCCTTTGACTCTCTGGGCCAGCCGAGAGCACGAACCGTAGCATAGGCATGCTCGCCCCAGCTTGGATCAGCCATGATTGCGTATATGTGGAGCTGAGTGACAGCTTGGAAAAGGCAGAAAGAGAGGGATAAAACACGGCGTCTGGCACAAACAGGCTCACAGAAACAAGACGACGAGCGAGCTTTACGGAGGAGAAAGCAGAGGGGAATGCGAAACAGCTTCTGGAGCGGGACGGGCGCGGTAGAAATAAAGAAAAGAGTTGGGAGGCAACTTTATGGTGATGGAGGTTGGAATTGGGTACGGAGCTTGTACACGTACTGGTACCTCTTACTGTACCGCCCAATGGCAAAAAAAGAGGGTGGCGTTCGTCGAGGTACTGGCCATTGGGCTGGCGCTACTTTCTCGTGTCGATGGATCGAGGCTTCCCACCGCTAGCCGTCATGGATCGACGATGTACCCCCAAGCGCGGGCGCCGTACAGTGACTCTGGCTCTGCAGAGCTGTCCATCCGTTGCCCTGCCACTCACTTCACCTCAACTGCTATCAGCTACATTCATTAGTACCTTAGTTTCGTCCCCTGTGCCACCCGCTGGCCATCGGGCTAATACGGGGCCTAAGGACCTTACCCGGGCCCAGCTCTGGCTGATGGCGGCCGGCGTGCAGCATGGCGTTTTGCAAGCGAACCAGCATGCAGATGCAGATGCAGACACGATGCGGCGCACATCAGGCAAATGTCATGCACGCCGCCACCCATCACGTTCTGCTGTACAGTATGCGTTGCTGTATGCGTATCGTATGCGTATGTACATGCTCGTACATCAAAACCCCTCTATGCAAGTTGCAGTTGCAGTTGCAGAGCCCCTCCAAGGATCCATTGATGGAAGGGAAAGAAAAAAACAACAGCCCCTCCAAAGAAACCAACCCCTCCAAAAACCCCTCCAGCTCGTCTCGACTAACCAACCACGTGCCGGCGAAACTCGCTCGTCTTCCCATCCTCATACACAGCACCTACCTAAGGCTTTTCATTGTCTCTCTGTATCGAATTCCCATATAAACATTGAAGCGGTCAGCAAACCCATCCAAGGCTAATGAATCAATAGCGGCCCCGTTTGGATAAGAAACAAGGCTACCAGCAGCACCAAGATCAGCACCAAGGTGGTAGTAGATGCCTAACCAAGGCAAACCCCGGGAAAGCCAGCAAAAAAGACACCGGAAACGTCGTGCTAGATTGTCTTCCATGTCCCTGATTAGATACCGGGACGGCGCCACCGCGACGGAAGCCAATTTACAACTGGAACTAGCACCGCATCAAGCTTCAATGCGTCACCTTTTTATGCACATCCCGGGCTCGCCATAGGCCAATGAGTCCACCAACCAGCGAAAATTTTTTATTTCTCTCACCACCGCTGCCGCGCGCATGCAGGCTCGCATCTGGCCTCGCATGAACAAGGAAGAGGGCAGAAGAAAAGAGGGAGAAGAAGAAAAAAACGCTCGCAGGTGCTTGGTTTGCTTGGCCACTTCTCTTCTCCCCCCCCTTCGTGGATCCTCCCCTCCAAAGTTGCAGCAGAAGGGGCTCCGCAGTTGGGAATCATTGCTTGCTTGCTGGCCTCTCGGTTTTTTGCAGATAAATAGGATCGAGGCCCAACGCGCGCAGTCCGTCGGGCTCACTCGCAGCAAACTGGTTATCAGTTCCATGCAAAATGCGCGCAATTCGGCCGCGGCCGCTCCTCATCACGTACAGACATGCTTGCCCTTCCAGCCGTCCTGATTAGCTAGCCCGGCCACGGGTCCCATTTCCGATGTACTGCGAGGCTGGCGCTTGTCATTTGCTCCTCACGCCATGGGAACATCTTCAACGTTCGGGCCGTTAATACTTTATTACATGGCCAACGTCGTATCTGCCGCCGTCCTGTCAATGGCCCCTTTTCCTCACTATCGGCAGCCCCCTCCTTTGGCCCGTGGCCTGTTTTGCGTCTGCGAGACCATCCGGGTAATGGAACGCCAATTGATACCTAAGCGTCTCAACAGTTTTCTTTTTCGCTGTCGGGCAGAATGCTCCCATCAGCTTCCGTAATCCGTTGGTAGGGACGCGTCTTCGACGGGTGAGTGCCCTAGGGATGGGGCCCGGCAGCTGCAGCTTCGAGTATACCCAAACGACACCCACCTTTTTACGAATAAATAGCTCTCCACTTCGTCCTTGATGAAGCTCTTCCTCCTTGTCAAACGATCCAGATTGCTCCGTAGTTCTCCACTATGCTCGTTCACCCCGCACCTTGGAATTGCAAAAGAGCTGCCTTGAGCATCCCATCTGGCACTGGAATGACACGGAGAAACGACGAGGATGGTTGCCTCTGCGAGAACAAACAATGCTTCCCAAAGACGCGGCTTTTGCATGTGATTTCTGACGAGACTGCGAGGTTAAAAAAAAAACCTAGCCAACTTTGCATGGTTAATGCATTCGTGCTGTTGTATTGTACTATACGGGCATTCCAATTGTGCCCCCTCCATCCTTTGCCCCTCTTTGTAAGAGCTAGGATGCCAAATTAATACCTTGTAATATTCCAAAAAAGTGATACGATACTAACGCGTCAATGACTCTTCCTTTAATAACGAGAAACAACTACAGAAATGGCAAAGCGAGAGCAAGCACCAAACAAAAAAAAGCCTCTCATGCACGCCTGCATGATTGCATGCGTCCTGTGGTTCCAAATGTCTCATATACCAACATCAAATGTCCTTCTTGTAGGCGTGCTCGGGCTTGTGAGTGGTCTCGTAGTCAATATGAACGTAGGCCCGCTCAACGTCGGGCAAGCTCTCCAGCTTGAACTGCAGCTCTTCGGCCACATCGTGCGTGTCCTGGAGCGTCCGCGTCGGGTCCATGACAATGTCCACTTCAGCAATCAGCCGCGGGCCCGAGTGGTAGACTCGCACCGTATCAATGCCTTCGACGGCTTCTGAGTGGGTCAAGCACACGTATGTGATGAGCTGCTGCATGTCTAGAGGCGCGACGACACCCACGAGCAGCAGGAACTCGTTAAAGGCAGTATACAGCCAGATGCTGGAGGTAAAGATGGACAAGAGAATGGCGCCCATTGGGTCAATCCACCACTCCAGCTTTGCGCCACCCACCGATGTCAAGATACCGAAGCCGTTGACGAGCAGGTCGTTGCGGTGATCCTGCCACAGAATGTTCACCTGGCTATATTTGTCCTTGAGAGACCAGCAGTACAAGAAGAGGGCGAACTTGGTCGCAAACGCCGCGCAGACAGAGATGACCGAGGGGAGATGGAACTTCTTCTCGCTATCACCGCTTGCCAGTTCCTTTGCTGAGAAGGCGATGATGATGAGGGCTACAGCGCTCATGAGGAAGCAGAAGACAATGTTGCCCACTGTCTCGAGCCGTGCCTTGCCGGCGGGAAAGCGTCGCGGATCGACACTGCGAATGGCGCGGTTCGACAGAATCAGAGCGAGGGTGCTGAGCGGGTCAAAAATCGCATCGGCCATGGTTGTGAAGAGGGACAGAGAGCCGGACGTAATGGCTGCGTAGAGCTGAAGAGCAGTGAGGACAATGTTCGCCGCCAGTGAACCATATATGGCAATCTTAAACTTGAGCTTGTCCTCTCCCTGCTCGATGCGGGCTTCCTCTCGATGGTCCTCCACCGACTTGAGCATCCGTTCGATGGTGGCATTTTGGTTTTCGTAGAAGCCGCGGAGTTTGCGGTGGTCGCTTTTGGGCGCGTACTTCTTGGCCCCATTGGCACTGTCCCTCTTACGAGATGAATTGGCCTTGATCTGCTCGAGGTCCGAATCGGTTTTGTAAGAAAAGGACAGCCCGTAAGGATCGCTCTCGGCCGACAGACGCGGAACGCGAGAGCTGTAACCCGCCGTGGATTGCCTCTCTACGTCTGCGCTTGTGAAGTGGTGGCGCTCTACAGCATCGTGATCTGCCACCTCGACGGCCTCGACGCCTGTGCTAGAAGCATCACGAACAGCAGGCGATTTCGAGCTGCTGCGGCTGGAGGTCGGCGCCTGGAGGCGCTGGAGGTTGAAAACGTTGGGGTGGTGAGTGATGGTGTTGCTTGCGTCGGGCGTCATGGTGAATGGTTCAATGCATGAATCGGGCGATGCCGTTGTTCAATTGCCACCGAAAGCCTGGAAAAGACAACCAAGAGTCGCTGGATACTAATATTCCCGCTTGTTGAGTACAGTATTATCCCAATTCGCCGGTACGTCCGAAGGAGACGCGAGGTCGGCGTGGGGGGGTTCGCTTCGCCACAAAGGAGGCCTCGTAGCAAGTCTTGGCTGGCCAGGGATCTTCAAAGCTCGACAGATCAGTGCTGACCAAGGACAGGCGACTGTCCAAGATGCTACAACAAGAGGATCGATGGCCCCCGAGTTTTAATGATGAAATAGCAAGCCAGATCGAGATGAAGCAAGATCAATTGATGCCAGGGGCACAGAGTAGAAATTTGACGATACGGGCCGATAGCTGTTGTGGATAGCTCGCAATTAAGGGACTCGAGCTGTGGCGGGATCGGTGAGCGTGGGGGCTTCGGGCCAAGAAAGGAGATACGCTGAGTGTACGGAGTAATAAAACGAACACGATGGTCGAGTTACTGCATTTCAGCGGTTGATGCTGGTCCCAAGTATGGGGTTGAGTTTTGACGGTGGAAAAATGAATAAAGTAAGGAATTGATTGAGCTTATACGAGATGGAGCATATTGCCGGCTGCAGGAAAGCACCTCTGGAATCGCTCCTGCCCATGACGCGGATTTGCGCAGGACGCGAACGGATCAACCAACGTGGTGGCCATTGTGCGCCTTGCACGGAGTACGTAGACCGCATATTCCTTAGTAAGCTCATGAGCCAAAGTGAAGTGCCTGCAAGTGCGTTGAGAACAGACGGGCAATTTGAGCTCCAACAAGAGGAAACAGAACGCGCAAAAAAGCCAGGGTCGTTGAGTATTAAGTAGACGGGTTAAAAATAACCTTTCAAAGTGCAGCGGGAGCATCTAGATCTTAAATGGAATCTCGATCAAAAAGTCTGGCAGCGGCTCTTCGGGCGACTCCGGAACCATCCAGGTCCCCCAGCGGCGGCTCAAATTCGCAGACCCACGCTGCCTATCAGCCCATAGCTGCAGAGCCTTCCTTTATCACATCAATGTGATTAGCTGCTGCTGCTATCTTGCATAAATCTTTGAAAACAAAAACAGGAACAGAGCTGCATTTCATGCGTCGAGAGGTAGATTATTATATGTAAGGAGGTAGCCTACATGTACGGACAGTTGGCTACATCCAAGTGTAGAGGTAAGCAGCCAACGTTGATCAACTATCCTGAAAAAGAAAAAAAGAAACAGAAGAAGGGGGGAAACGCCATAATGCAAGCCTCAAAACAACAAGCCAATGAGCCCCTTACAGCTTCGGTTCGATTCTAGATCGCTTCAGGATCCAGTCAACCACGTCCTTTGTGTACTCGTCCTTGCAGTGGTCCGCGTGAAGCTGGTGATATGCGCCTTCGTACGACTTAGTCTCTCTGTCCTCAACAGCCGCCTGCTCATTGACGAACTTGACAGCCGCATCATAACTGCAAGTCATGTCGTTCGTGCCGTGAGTCAGCAAGATGGATTTCACATCACCGCCCAGCTTCACCCCTCCGGATGAAAGCGACGCCGTGCGATCCAGCAGCGACGCCAGGCCCTCCAGCGTGCCGGTGTTGTGGCACAGCTCGTCGTTCCTGATGGACTCGACGACCGCCGGATCGCGGCTCAAGTGCTCCGGCGGAACCACATGCTTGAGCTGATGGCGCGGCAGCAGTCGCCCGACCAACCTCCCCAGCACGACTTTGACCACGCTGGGCTCCTCGCCCTTGGAGAAGCCGATGAAGGGCGCCTCGAGGATCCAGCCCCGGATCTGAGTCACCAGCTGCCGGTGCTTCGCATCGCCCGCCAGCGTGAGGACCTCGCCGCCGCCCATGGAGTGGCCCATGACAAACACCGGCACGTCCGACGGCAGCTTCTCCTGGATGAAGGCGACAATGTCGGCCACGACCAGCGCGGTTGGGCCGGTGAGACCCTTGTCCGCAGGCCGATTCACGCTGCGGCCCCAGCCGCGCTGGTCCCACGCGAACACCTGGATGCCCTGCTCGGCGAGCCTGGGGAAGAAGTCGTTGTAGCGGTTGATGTGCTCGCTGAAGCCGTGGACGAAGATGAGCTTGGCGACAACGGGGCCCGTCGTCGGCTGGGGACGGCATTAGCAGGCAGCATTTCACATGTTGAGAAGGTTCAACGCAAAAGGGGGGAGACAAACCGTCCACGTCTTGGTGTAGAGGCTTGCATCGCCCGCCTTGAATGTGCCTTCTGTGGTTGTCATTGTATGAGATTTTCCCTGATATTCAAACAGTTGAAAGCCAACAAGTGCAGAACGAAGACGGATCGCAGGCTGAGCTGCAACAGCATGAGACGCGCTGGAAGTGCAACCCCTATGGCAGCAGCTCTAGGGCCCATTGCAAGGGTCCATACCTAATCCAATTAGCGGCCTCTTCAGTGGGGCCCCGGTAGATCCCAGCCCGAGCTTCCTCGGCAGAAGCCATGAAACCAATTCATGTCGTTGGTCTTATTCTGCTGATCTGATGGATATAATCTCTAGGGTTTCTTGTGAGTTGAGTAATCCGTATATGTCCGCATAGAATATCGGGTGATTGTAAATAAATGGGGAGTGAGAGCAGAAAAAAGCAATTGAAGTACTCTGAGATCATGTAATTCCATCCTCGATGTAAGCCACACAGCAAGCACATACCCAGTAGGCAAGATGAAATTTCATATTCTCTCTCTTTTACGCCCTCCGCCTCCTCAGATATGATACATGTTCCAAAGCCTGCTATCCTCAAGACATCGTCCCCCGAGGCACGAGTTTGAGCGGAGTTATTACTACAAGATACCTAGTACGTATGGATGCCGCCATCCCAGCGACATGCTGACCTCTATGTACAAAACGTTGTGTTAGTTTTGCTCCTGATACACCAACCTTGCTGCCGAAAATACTTTACAAAATTTATCAATCAACAATCACCTCCCCTCTCTTTGATGTATATATAGGCGTGATTTTTTTCTTCTTCTTCTCTTTTCTTTTCCTTAGACACCAATCGTGTATGCGCTCAAAGGCTTCTCCCCTTATCTTGTGATGGCAGAGCTGCCTTTTCTCTGTTCGCCTCTTCACCTTCGTCCACGAATCTCTCCTGGTCTTCATCTCGGGCGAGATCATCCTCAATCTCCTCGAATTCTGTAATGTGGGAGGTGGCCTCTGTGGATGGCCGCTTCTCCGGGATCTCGCCGCCACTCATCTGCCACTCCATCAATTTGCTAAAGGCGCTTTCTTTATCGGCAGCAAGCTTGACATAGCTGCCAATTTCAGCCACCTTGCCGTCCTTGTTCAGCACAATGATGAGGTCGGACCTCTTGATCGTAGACAGTCGGTGCGCAATGGATATGGTGGTGTTGTGTCCGCGCAGCAGCCCCGCAAGCGCTTCATTGACCAGCGTCTCCGACTCCGCATCCAAAGCTGAAGTGGCCTCGTCGAGAATCAGGATATCAGGGTCCTTGAGCAGTGCCCTGGCAATGGCAATGCGCTGCTTTTGACCACCGGACAGCTGGGATCCTCGGGCGCCGACCTGTGTTTCAAGGCCTTCAGGCAGATCACTGATAAATGTGCAGTTTGCTCTCCTGGCTGCCGAGATGATTTCCGCGCGACTTGCATGTGGCTTGCCATACGCGATATTTTCAGCAATGGTGCCTGAGAACAGTACGGGCTCTTGAGACACAACACCAATGCGTCGTCTCAGCGACTTGATGTTCATTGTTGAGACATCGACATTGTTGATTGTAATGGATCCGGATGTAGGGTTGTAGAATCGCAAGAGTAATGACGCAACTGTCGACTTGCCGCCTCCTGATGGCCCAACGACGCAGACGTTGCTACCAGACGCAATTTCAAAATCCAAGCCGTTGAAAATCTTCACTGCAGGCCTCGTTGGGTAGGCAAAATGAACGTCGGAAAATCGAATGGTGCCCTGAGCGGACTTGACGGGGGATCCGACTGTCTGGTGAATGGTGGGTTTCCGATCCTGTAATTCGAACAATCGACTTGCGGCACCAACGCCCTTCATGAGCTCTGAGTAGAAGCCAGATAGACCAAACAGACTGGAGCCCGCAAATGCAGTATACATCATGAAAGAAGTCAAATCTCCCAGGGACATGGCACCGGTCCTCACCAGGTTTCCACCGACAACTAACATGGCCAGAATCGTCATGTTACCAGCCCAGCCCGTCGAGGCGAAGAAGGTTGCAGCGATGAGGGACTCCTTTTTGCCAAGAGCAAAGATCTTGCGGACCTGTCTGTTGTACCGCCCGACTTCTTGAACCTCTCCAACAAATGCCTGGCTCGTCTTGATATTTCCAAGTCGTTCTTCCGCAATCTTTGTCAAGGTACCGAGGTTTTTCTGTATCGACCTGCTCACATTTCGAATCGCTCGTCCGTAAAAGAAGGCGCCAATAGCAATGGGTGGGAACATGAGGCACAAGATGCCGGTGAGCTTGGCACTCGTCCAGACCATGATTGCGAATCCAGCACCACCACTGAAGATTGCTCGAAGCCCATCGCTCAAGTTGGAAGTAATTGATTTGCCAACAATGACGGAATCGGAACCAAGTCGCGAGATGAGATCACCAACTCGATTGGCGTCGAAAAATTCGGCATCTTGAACATAGGTTTTCCTGTACAGCTGGGATCGTAACCTGGCGACGACTCTCTCTCCGATGATACGCAGCAGAATGACTCGTCCAAAGCTGGTCATGGCTCCGAGTGTGAGAACGCCACCAAGGGCCATGAAAAACTGGTTCAAGGAGAGACCAAAGATGTTCACGTCATCAATGTTGCCCTTTGTCGAGATATCCAAGATGCGACCAACGGAAAACGGAATCAACATGGTAACGCCAGAAGAAATCATCAGGAAGAAGAAAGCCAGGCCCAGCCACCGAGCTTCGGGCTTGGCAATCGAGAGCAGCCTCCATATTTCCTTAAAGCCAGCCTTTGCTTTGGGCGTGCCCTCTTTAGATAACCTGGCAGATAGATTGACTTGCGCCGCATTGGCTGCCCGTTCGCTTTTCTGAAATTCCTGGCTGGCTTCGTCCTCTTCCGTATCCTTTGTCTGCCTTGTAGACTCCAGCGTTTGCCGAGTCGCGTTTCCGGTATTTGATTGGGTTTCCCGCGCAGCGAAAGAAGTGCTGGAGAATTGGCGAGCTAGTTGCAGTATGCGTCCATGGCCCGAGAATGACGGGTATCCAATGGCCGAATGCGATCGAGACTGGGATTGTTGTTGTTGTACCTGAGATAGACGAAGAGACCCTGCCAGCGTATGGAAGCCGGCAGGGGTGAAAAAGGGCAGAGTGCGCGAACCAGAAATCGACGGGCAGAGGAGAGATTCGGGCTTCGGGAAGTGTTGCGACAGAGCTCGACTCGAGACCGAGACTGCAGATTCTTGCGAGCTGCTGACTGCTAGCCTGGCAGGCAGCGCTCGTCGCAGCGCCCCGGCATTCATGGTAACCGAGGGGACGCCCAGCGGTTCAGCATCGAATTGCTGGGAGCCGGTCGGGAGGAAAAGCCGTGGTCGGTGCTGAAGCGGTGATGGTGATCCGGCAGCGTTGTAGGGATGAGAAAGGAATCAAGAGGCGGAAGGGGAAAATATTTCCATTACCTACTACACTGCTGAACTAGGAGGTTCCGTCATAGTCGCGGCATTTACAGCTGAAAGCGCTGGAAAGCTGCTGCAATGCGCAAGGCGGCAACTCTAAAGCGCCCTAGTTAGTGGACAATTGCTCGGCCGAAGGTCGGCCCAACGTCGGCCCAACGTGGGATTTGCTTGAGCTCCGGACTCCGTACGGGCATGGCGCCGAGCTCCAAGGTCCGAGTCCCGAAGCACAACTAACTGCAGGGAGTCTTGTCTGTGAAAACAACCTGAACTGAAGGACTATTTATATCTCTACCAAGGTGTTACGATTCGATATGATGCTTTGAATAGAACTAAACTAAAACGTGTGCTGCACGTAAATAGTATTGAAAAGCCCTGCATCCTACATTCCATACACAACCCTAACAAACTCAAATCCTACCTACTATATGCCGAGGATGAAAATACAATATGAAAGCATGCGCCGTGGAAAGCCAAACCACTACTACCCAAAGGTCAGGATATAGCTTGTTTCCTAGTTAGATTCCATCTCGAAGAAGCAATCCAACAACCCCTGCCCGGAATCATCAACTAAATCAAATGTCACCGCCTTCCTTTAGCATCTCTGCCACCTCGGCATCTATCTCACCGTCGTTACCGAGATCGGGAAAGTCGCTGCCGTCATCCACTCGTCGCCTTTTATTAGACCCGTTGGTTGATATGGGCAGCGATTGAGTGTATGTTGAGGCCTTTGCGACGGAAGGTTCAGCTGCTGGGACGTCCTCCGAGGGCTTGACGTCTTCGTCATAGTCATAGTCGATGCTCTCTGGTCTAGTGTCCTCGTAGTCATCGTCCATGCCTGGCGGTGTTAGAGCCTCCATCTCTGGCCGATCAAGCTCAGTAGGAGGGCCCCCAGTTTCCCCTTCTGTATGCGCTCCGTTGCCATCCGCAGGTCCGAGTGCTCTCATGATAGCCACCTCAACCTGCTGCTTCTTATCTTCAATCTCTCGTTTGCGGCCCGACAGCTCGGAAGCTGCATTCTTTTCGTTTTCCAAGGCCGCTCTGTTCGAGTCCAGCATCTTTTCCAATCCCGAGATCAAACTCTCTCGGGCCTTGACGCACTCGGCTACCGCACTCTCAGCGCTCGCAAGGGTCTTGAGCAACCCATTGAGGCGAGCCGCATATACAGGCGCTGAAGGGGCGGGTACTGTGGGATCGACTTGCTTTTCATACTCTTGGGTCGCGGAAGCAATGGTCGTCTTTAATGGCACGCTCAGCTTGGTGACCGTCTGATGAGCAGACACAAGGGGCGTGAATTCTGAGGGCACAGAGGAGGCAGATGATCCAAACGGTGAACCTCCGAATCCGGGCTTAACGGATCCGCGAGCTTTATCCAACTCTGTTTTCGAAATTAGCATCCATTCATAACTAGAAAGAAGCTGCAAAGGCGCATACCAGTTAGACGCGCCTCGATAGCAGCCTGAATCGGCGCTTCGAAAATAGCTCTGTCTTTCCAGACGTCGATAACACGTCGCAATTTCCCTTGAATCTCGGCTGGCGCTCCTTTATAGGCCACTGCGGCTGCTTCTGCTATAACCGGGGAGAAGGCGATGATAAAGTCCTCTTTGTGGCGGATTCTAGACTGCTGCGCAACCTCTTTCCACAAAGTGTTAGCACTCGTTCGTTGCGTGAGCATGCTGTCTTTCTTTATTGAAAGGGCAAGGGCGCATATAATGGTTGTGGAATGCATACCGTTCGCAAGGTAAACCAGGCTCAGTCGTTTCGTGCTAGATGAATCTTTCAGGCGCTGCATCCAGAGCGCCACTGTGCGATCTGCGTGCCGTCTGAAAGAATTGGATTGATCAGTACCTCTGTCGCATTCAAAGGAGAGTTGCTCATCATCAATAGAGGCTGCTTACCTATGAAACATGATCCATTGGGCTGCTGTTGCAATGCTGTCATGGCTCTCATTCAATGCTGACAGACGCGCCAGCACTGAATCGTCGTTGTACGCCATTATTACGATGCTTGGTCTTTGGTTGCAGTTGGCGTATCGTATGAGACTGAGGCAAATGCACACACGGCGTTCCACTGCTTGATTCTACGGGCGACGTGCCTTATTGGAGTAGATTGGCCTTGCGACGCGATGGAAAAGGTCTACAGCAAGCAGTGGATCTTGGCCTTGGAGCTCCAACAGCAAGCTTGCGATCAGCTAGTGGAAGTGCAATTGCGGCAGATCAGGCTCAAGTCAGGAGACAAAGTGTTGCCTGCCGAATCAACAGCCCAACACAGAGGAGGCAAGGAAAAACTAAAAATGGTCGTGGGCAAAGGAGTATCAACTAATAGCATCCAACATCAAAGGAAGAAACTTTGACGAGAGCTGAAGGCTTGGGAGATACCTAGTAGGGTCCGTCAAAAGACCGGATAAGTGCACATGCGAGCGGGCCTGTACCGCATTATGCAATATTTTAGCGCAAAGCTGCGTCTCACGTTGCCTCACCGCCCGGCAGAACATGGTAGCAGTAACCAGGGACAACAGGGAACAGATGGTCACTGCTAGCGACCTCGTTTCGTTGCGCAAGCTGAGCAAGACCAACCTTACACACTCCTTTGCCTGGATTTGCCATTCGCGCTCTGCTCTGGCCACGATCTTCTTTTTTACGACGACAGTTTCTTCCACGATAATCCAACATGGCTGACCGATTCCCTTCGCTCGAGGACTTCGATTCCGGAGGTAAGCTCCTGAACGGACACAACCAGCCTCGATCCAAGTTAACCACTGCCTGCCAGCGCAAACCGATATCAAGGAAGCTTCCGACGAGCCCTCTGCTGAAGACTTCCTCGCTAGAGAAAAGGCTCTCCTTGGCGATGATGCGAACCAGTTCACGACAAGTGATGACGCAAACGTATTAGCCGACGCTGGTGGAGATCTCCTGGGCGAGAGCAACGCCGCGGCATCGACCTTTGAGTCCCAATTCCCAGACCTTGCCAGTCCAACTGCTGTGGGTATACGTCGAGCATTCAAAATGAATTCCGAGGCACTAACAAGGCACGTCTTCAGGGCTTCGCTGGAGTGGATGGAAACATCATGACCGGCCCGTCTGTGAGCTACAACTCGGGTTACCAGTCATACGCTGTCGATGAGGAGGAGCCGGAAGTCATCAAGCAGTGGCGCGAGGCCCGCGATGCGCAGATTGCAAAGAGATCCGAGCAATTCGCCGCTCAGCGAGAGGAAACGATACAGGAAGCTCAACGGAACATTGATGACTTCTATGAAAACTACAACTCCAAAAAAGAGAAGGGCATTGCGCAGACGCGCAAGGAGGCGGAGGAATTCCTTGCCAACAGGGAGGATACGGTTTCTGGTGGCACAAGCTGGGACCGCATTGCTAAACTCGTGGATGTCAGCGGAAAGGGGGCCAAGGGCGGAGCCTCCGGATCTGGCAAAGAGCGTTTCCGCGAAATGCTGGTGAGCCTGCGCAAAGATGAGAAGGCTCCTGGCGCAACCGGCTACTAATCCCCGGTGGACTGAGTCTCACAACCAATATAGTGGCATTGCAGTGCCTGGGCAACGGAGGGCCGGAAATCTGACATGCGATACATTTGATTTGCATTTCTTTCTCTACCACGAAAAGAATCGGAGTGGCACAATGAATTACTGGCTACGCATAATTGAACAAGGAAAAGAAAAACATGAATAAACACACGTTAGACGAATGCGAACAGCAACAAGGGTGATCCAATCAATACAGCGAGACATGTGAGACGGACTGACAAATCCTATATTTACTGTCTATAAGACTTTAAACTCATACATGCCTCCAATCTTGCATTTGACGCAAATTGGGGTAACTCAATTGGCTCGTCCCATAGATGCCGGTACTTTAATCCTTGCTGAACCAGGTGTTGTGGCCGGCAACCTTTCGGCTGGCAGCGTAGAGGGTAGCTATGAACTCGTTTAGCTTTGCGTTCCGTAGCCCATTTCATCAATCAAACTCACCTCCGAAACCTCCCCAGAGGGCGACGAGGTAGGGGGCCATGTACCAGTTGCTTCGGGGGTTCTGTCGCTGCGTTAGTATAGCTCGAGGTTCGTGATCGCTAATTCGTGCGTACAATCTTCCACAGGCGGGTGTGAGCCTTGTACGCAGCCTGGTAGAAGCGCTGGTTCTCCGTCACCCTGTTCTTGGCGTCGATCATACTATGGCACGGCGTCAGTCGAGGTTCTCTCCAAGCTATGCACATCCGTCGGGGAAAACCCTGCGGAAGCCGTCGGCAGGCGAGCAGCAATTGGGCGCTTTCGCATGCGTCGGTCGATGGGAGGAGCTTACCCCATTTTGGCGGTTGAAAATGAAGATGCGTGTAGGTCTTCGTTTGAAAAGTGCTTCGTGGTGGAGTGATCTTGTAGTCGGGATGTCAGAAGAAGCCTTGGTTAGAGAAATGAGGCCATATTCTAGCTCAAAAGTGGGTAGCTGGATGACTCAGCAACCGGCCCATCTGCGCACGGAAAGAGGAAGTGGGATGGGTTGAAGTACCTACTGAGGTACGTACCTTGAAGGTTATAGCTCGGGAACCGCCAATTACATGCGCCAGCGCGAATACTGTATCACGGCCTACCTTGGTCTAGTAGAGTAAAAAGTGAAGCCTTGCCAACTCCAGCCCTGCAGCTACGGTACAGCGTCTTGAGCGTCTCTGATGGCATCTTGACACCCGACGATACGCCACAGTTGAACGGCTGGATGCGGTGATATGCCTCAGAAGTCGGCGGCCGGCTGGAGACAATCCCAGGAATGCGAGGAGCCGTAAAATTCACACACAATCGGCCACCATCGACTCGATTCCCTCCCAGCCTTTCGCATGCGTCGTCCACAAGGCTACGACACTATTCCCAGCACTTCACTGCCCTAGCTCGCCTATCTATTACTCCAAGAAAGGGACATATTCTTCATCAGGCTCCGAGATTTACTCCTGGAGGCTCTGGTTGGAATCAATGGCGAGCACTCTCTGCTGGGAATCCGAGTTCCTTGCTGCAGCCACCAAGATGGAGAAAATACGGGAGTCTAGGGCAGGCGCGGCAGCGACATGATGCATCTTCGGGCTTCCTATCATCGAACGAAGCCCTCGCAGCAAGAATCAACAAGAGTCTTCAAGACGCAGAGGTTGAAATCCAGCCCTACGATGCCGCCTCGTGGGAGGCTGTGTGCGATATACTATCTGACAAGCATGGATCCGACGGAGTTTGGTCCGTTTTCCAAGCAATTTGGTACCAGGGGAAACATGAAATATTTGCATTTAGCGATGCCGAGTCTCTGCGTGGTAAATTCTTGTCGGCAGCGCTGGGCTCGGATTCACGGCTGTCTGTGCTTTTCACTGCGGCCCAGCAACTGCTGGCACAGAGCAGTTTCCAATGGCCCGGTCTATACACGAGTGTTGTTCGCTTTTTCCTGGACCGTGGCGATTACGAAGAGGCAATTCGTTGGGATCAGCAATTAACCCCCATCTTTCCACCTGGGGCGGATGAATTTGGAGCTTTACTGGCGACCTTTGCCATTAAGCCAACTCCTGAGATGCAAAGCACCTTGACAACGCTTTATGTGTCGAGCACCAATCGTCAACTATACGACCACATCATACCAGCTCTCTTTGCCTCGGGTCAGTCCAAGCTGGCCCGTACATGGCGCAAAAAACTGGTCGTGTTTAAGGATGCTCCATTGACATCCAATTCTCGGCCGTTTCTCTTATTTCTTGCCAGCTACTACCCGCACATACAACTCACAGAGAGAGAGTTAGCTGTTGCTGAGCTCGATCGTCAAGAACTAGCTGCTGAAGCTGACGACGATGAGACGTTCCCTGAGGTTGATAGGAAAAGAATCGATCGAAGAGGGACACACAGCGATGCTCTCGTTGCAAAATGGTTCGCCAGCACATGGACATCCGTGGAGTTTGCGATCAATTTCATATACAAGCTCGGAGTGCGCACAATTGGCCCTCGCTCTCTACAATCTCTTGCGCTGCGGGACCCAGACGCCAAAGAAGTTGCGGCACGTATAGCCCAGGTCGAGAGGCTGGGGATCAGAATATCTCCTCAATCGTATTGCAAGATTTTAGTTTCCTTCGCAAGAAATGGGGCGGACGATTTACTCATGGATCTACTTCATTGCGACATTCACCCTGATGAATTCGAAGACATGGAAACTCGACACTCCCTTATGGCCGAGGCCGCGAGGATGGGAGATTGGAAGATGGAGCGACTCCTCCAGGCTATCGAGTGGGCAATCGAGACCGGTCCAACATCTCGACGTCTCAATTCCTTGCTTAGAAGTGAGCTTTTCAAGCGGAGTTTAGGCAAAGCGAAGGAGGTCCTCGATCGTATGGAAGCGTTGAAAATCAGCATGGCCCAAGCCAGTGCCACTGGACTCCTCAAGCGTGTTTTCTGGAAGCTCGACTTGCATCCTCCTCAACGATCACAACGATATTTACCAAGGGATTATGGATTTCATGATTCAGATGACCCTCATTTAGACCGAGCTCTCACCGTCATTCGGCGCATTTCGTGCCATGACGTTGCCATTCCTACAAGATACTGGAAATCACTACTCTACAACTTGGGACGCTCAAGGCGTCTTGACGAACTCGACCAGCTGAGCTTGGAAATCATGCAAATTTACACCCCCCCTTACGGAGGGCTAGTTCCAGTGCATCGGGAAGACCTGCCAAAGCACTTTAACACTGAGGAAAAGGAGTACATACCGGCAGACTTGCCATTTGTCCACCATCACCACCCCATTCGGCTGATATTCGATACCTCGCTGCAACGTTCCATCGTGAGATGGGGATTCGACCAGACGCTGGCGACTAAGCCCCGGCCGCCAACGTCTCTCACGCATTTACAGACTGCAAACTTTTCGCAATTCGATGTCGCCCGCGGAGTTCGCCTGTTGGCTACGCTGCGAGACCAGGGGGCCTTGATCGACAATCAGGTGGTGCGGTCGAGCGTCATCTCTCGCATCGCTACGGGAATGGTTCCCGGACGGCCTCGGCACCGAGCAAGAGACAGCGTCGAGTTCTCCATGGAGAGCCTCATGGGCCTGGTTGACAAGGCGTGGGGATCGGAAATGTTCCCCGACATGTCGATGGTGAAGCAAGAAATCGAAGCCCGGAAGTCAAAGCTGTGGAACCGATACCCGAGATTAATTGACAAGACATTTGATAAAAACGGAACATGAGGGGAGCGAATAGCACTTGGATAGAATCTATTTTGGGGCTATACGTAGGATAGGCCCTTTTTACAATATCTACAGAAAGCTGTAAATAAGATCTAATCAAAACCGGTAACTCCAGGTGCATCATTGATTGTCCCTGGGTAGCATTAAGTCACTCCCTTTGTTGATACAAATGGTCATACGTCATGAAGCAATATGACCATCAACCGCTTGTCAAAACGCCACGCTGAGCCGCAGTTATCAGGACAGAAGAGAGAGTGAACCTCGGCCTCTGCGCTGACTGTAGCAGCATCTATCCATACAACGCCGATTACCTTTCCACCTCTCCCCCCGCAATCATTGTCTTTCCTTTTCTCACTAGGTAGCATAATCTGCTGCTATTTACTCCCCGTTCTTCTTAGGTTTGACCATGAGCAGAATGAATAGACCAGCAACCAATAGTATCAGTAAGAGGATAATCTTTCTCTTGATGTTCCGTTTCTGATAGCCGGAAGCTATTATCAGCTCCTTGTCGGCAGCCTTGACCTCTGTATTCATGCGCTCAACGTTGTAGTCGATGCGGTCCAGCATAGTGCCCTGGTCGATGATCATGGTCTGAAGATCGCGGAAAAGATCCGACAGCTCGATGATGCCTTGTGCGATTTCCTCGATTTCCCGCTCGCGCTGGGCAATGGCGGCGTCGTTTGAGTGCAGCGTCTTCTGCTGCATCGCGACCTGCAACGTAGATTGCGAAAAGGAGCGGTCGGCGTCGGACTCCTGGAGGGATGGGTCCATGTAGGAAGAGCCGGGCATCGGCGATGTCGGGCGATCGATGGGGCTGACGGCACCGAGGCCACCCATTCCGCGAAGTTCTAGAGAATTACACACACGAGGTCAGCGTTTATGTCTAGGACAGGGTTAGGGGGGGTTGGTGTTGGGACAGGGACAGACTCTTGAGATAGGCGCTCTGCTTCTTTCGAAAGTTTGCGCTGGCTTCCTGGACCCTTGTGGCCAGGGATATCTGTATGTTTTTCCCCATGGTCTCCTCCGCTCTGCTAATGGTTCCTGATTGCGTTGATTCGCGGACCATGTGCTCAATCTTTTGAATTCGCTGGTGGCACTGGTGGAAGCTCTTTGTGATGTCTTGGGTGAGTCTCTCGATCTGGACCTCTTCCCTCCTCTTGGCTTCGTCATCGTCGAATCCAGGGAGGACGTGTGTCTGGTGCAGCTTGTCCAGACGCTGGCTTTTCGTGGCAATCTCAGCGAGCAGCTCCGTAATCTCGTCGGAAACATCAGTCCATCGCGGAGGCAAAAGGTCCATCTCAATTACAGCGTCGCCATCATCTTCGAATGCGCCGCTCGACAGCAGCCCGCGCCGGTCCTCGGGCGCAAAGCTGCTGGTGGAGTATGCGTCGGAGTAGCCCCCGGGGGCATATTTGGAGCGTTGGTTGGGATGATGAGCGTACGACTGGCGGTAGGAGATGTAGCTACGGGGGATTTCGGGTCAGACACGACAGTCGAGATGTGCTCCGTTTGGAAACGGAATAGGTGTTCGCATGGAGTTGCAGTTGCAGGGCACACGTACAGGTTTGTGCGGTCGCGCCACATGGCGGACGCTGGGGGGGCGTCTGGAGGCCTGTCAGTACGGGGAATGGATCAATGATGAATCGCGGGCCTTTGGATCTGGACGCAAGATTTCCGGGATTCAGGTGATGACGGGCATTATCGAGTGCTGAGCTGAGTATCGACATCCAATGCAATGCACCAATGTCGAAGCTGGTTGCATTACGACACTTGCGCTAATCCTGGAGCAACCGCGCACTGGGCACTAGCCGGAAGCGAGCAGATACGAGTGCAGGTTTCGGAGCTCCCACCAATGAAGCTGCAGCCTCACACGGTGTTCACACGTGTCAAAGATACAATCTCCCAGTGCTCCTCAATCTTGCTGCATGGCATTGGGTAGCTACAGGCAAACAGGCTATAGATAGCTCTGGACGTTCCAGCACGGCAACACAGAGTGCTGTGTGCCTGTGATCATGGCATCATGACTCTTTCAGCTCCCGCCAGAACGGCGCCCGATGGCCGGTACAGTGCGAATACCCCCGGAGCCGCCACTTGCCCCCCATCCAATGTGTTACAAGGTCCCGTCCTACTTAGTGTAGGTCCTACTAGAACTTCTAGGCACCACAGGATAGGCCGGCCCAGTCCAGGCCCGCAGGATTAATACTGTATGCTGATTCTGCCTTACGGGGTCCCCTGACATTTATATCGTTCCTTGTTCTCCCCACGTCAAATCGACACGACCACAAGCAAAAAGCTCCCGCTTTCGCCCAGGCGCATCCAACCTTGTCTTTATAAGTCGAGTCCCGGGACCTCTCCGACCTTTGGATTCTTGACTCTCTCTCTGCACTCTTTCTTTGCTCTCCATAACCCCCATCCACAATGGTAAGTGGCGCGCAGATACCCTCGGCCGACTTGTCTCAGGCGCAACCCCGCGACCGCTGAGGGGCTGCCCCCCAAATTCTCAGGAGCTTTTGTGTGACTGACCCGCGAGCTCTCAACAGGCTGATTCTCTTACCGAAGAGCAGGTCTCTGAGTTCAAGGAGGCCTTCTCTCTCTTTGTGAGTCTTCAACCTCGTTTCTTGTGGCAATTCGGACGGTTTGAGTGCTAACCCAGCTTGCTACAGGACAAGGACGGTGATGGTACGTAGCAGCGAGTGACGCGACACCACCCCTCCCCTCCTTTTGCGAATAGGCATCGGAACACCGAATGACTTGCTGCCGACCGATAATTTCCCTTGTCAGCCCGTTTCATGATAGGCGAGCAAAGAAGAATACTGACAGGCTTGACCCCGCAGGCCAGATCACCACCAAGGAGCTGGGCACCGTGATGCGCTCTCTTGGCCAGAACCCCTCCGAGTCAGAGCTTCAGGACATGATCAACGAGGTCGATGCCGACAACAACGGATCCATCGATTTCCCCGGTATGTCAAGAGTCCAAGTATTGGATCGTTATCACATTCGGGCTAATACGGAGCGGTGTAGAATTCCTGACCATGATGGCACGAAAGATGAAGGACACTGATTCCGAGGAGGAGATCCGAGAGGCATTCAAGGTTTGTTTCTGGCACAAGCGTCTTTTTTTATTTTTATTCTATTGTATTTGCTAACGTATGCGCTCAGGTCTTTGACCGCGACAACAACGGCTTCATCTCAGCCGCTGAGCTACGCCATGTCATGACATCCATCGGCGAGAAGCTCACCGACGATGAGGTCGATGAGATGATTCGCGAGGCCGATCAGGACGGCGATGGCCGAATTGATTGTGAGTTTACGGCGAGAATGAGTGCATCTGAACGAGTATGGGCTAACGGTATCTGCGTAGACAATGAGTTTGTCCAGCTTATGATGCAAAAATAAGGGATTGTGTCTGGAGTTATTTGCGACTAAGCCAACTGTTCAGCCATGTTAGAGGCCATGAATATGGTTAATCCTTGCGGCGAGACCAAGGCGTTAGCACGCTCACAACCTGTTGTTTGAGAAAATCAATTAGTCGACTTTGTTCCTTTTACTGCTGTCATGTCTACGGGCGATTTTCGAAATTGCTGGGATGTGGAGAGTCGTGATGTTAAGTTCTGGTAGCAGTCCAGGTAGATATAGGTACCCTGGACCTTTTTATTATGCATACTGTCAAATTCCAACAGCTCTCTGTGAGTAATTCTTGCAACATGGTGATGTAAATTGCAAACTCTTTGAGCAAAGGTGTACGCCCAGCGTATGGATTAAATGGGCTAGAAACGATTCCATCTACCTATATTGTAGGTTCGATCACCTACAGCTGATCACATTTAACTATAGAGATCTAAGCCAGAGTGACTGTACATGCTGTAAAGCACTCTGGATTCGCTTATATATAAGGCCCAAAGACACCCATAAACGAGAAATACCGCATAGCAAACACAATCCCATCTGGGAGCCCGACTCATACAGCTTGGCAACAACTGCGTGTAAGACCAGATAGTGTTTGCCATGTACAATCGTTTCAGCGCTGTTTAAGGGTGCTTTTGGGTAGAATATATGACTGTTTAATGATGTCAGCCGATTAGGCTGCTTTGATCATGAGACTCGAGGCGGCAGAGGGGATGGCGAGGACGGGTGCTGGCTTTGTCTCAGCTTCAATGTGGAAGACGACGAAATGACCACTGCTGTGTTGCCATGGGTGCTTGGCGTGCTGATACTTGGATTCCTTTGTTCAGCTTTTGGCCGGTCGCCACCAAAAGTAGCTATTTTTATAATTGAAGGAATGAAAATAGGAATAAAAATTCAAATACTTGAATACCTAGCTAGAATATTTCAGCCCTCCTATAAAGCATTCAGCTGCTAGAATTACCCGTACCTACTGTTGATGTTGTATCTTGCTTCATGTGGTCGTTTCGCACCCCATATGCCGGTATACCTCGATAAGTGAATAACTGGTACCGCACTCTCTCAGGTCATGTACCTCGAAATACGGGGTACCTCGCACCCAGAGCAGAGTCGCCTAGACCCAGGTCCTGGCGGCTCCAAGGTACCCAAGCCTCGCCGGGCCATTGCTTTTTCCGCTGGTGCCTTGGCCATGATGCAGCGTGGCCTGCCCCACGTAGCGCTGGATCCAGGTACTTGCAAGTGTAGTCCAGTTCAGTTATAGGGAGCGGTGCTTGGTGGCATTGCGATTGATTCCAACGTTCCGCCTACAAGCAAGCTCTCCAGCTCATCGTCGAGGCTCGCCGTCTTTTCTCCAGACGTCAGCGCTAACCGGCCCTTGGAGTTGTGAAGCCTCTCTCTCAAGTGTTTGTGTATGGGAGCCTGCGAATTGCTGCACTGCTGGCACCACCGCTCATCCACCGCCTGCGGATCCTTTGATAACACCTTGTGAGACGACCCAGTCCAGTCGCCGGGTCGTGCTCTGTCCTCAAGATGAGTTCCTGTATGCAGCTCTCCCCTGCTTGATCTATACGGACGATGGCTGACGTTTGGCGCCGATAGTAAAACAATTCATCCGCAACGTGCGTGCGGCCAAGACGATTGCAGACGAGCGAGCGGTCATCCAGAAAGAGAGCGCCGCCATCAGAGCCAGTTTCCGCGAGGAGGGCCACGACCATAGCATACGGTGGGTTTCTGACCGACATCGACGGTTTGCTTGCGCATCCAAACATTGAACAAGAGTGCTCATGGGCAACTGGAACAGGCGTAACAATGTCGCGAAACTACTCTACCTCTTCACCCTCGGCGAGCGAACTCACTTCGGCCAGGTCGAATGCCTGAAGCTGCTTGCGTCCCCGCGGTTTGCGGATAAGCGTCTCGGTCATCTTGCTACAAGCTTACTGCTCGACGAAAAACAAGAGGTCCTGACGCTGGTGACCAACTCGTTGAAGAAGTAAACCATCCCCTATATGCCCCCATGGCAGCAGCAGACGGGTTCTAACCATGCCATGTGTCTAGCGACTTGAGCCACTCGAACCAATATGTTGTCGGACTCGCCCTCTGCACTCTCGGAAACATTGCGTCCGATGAAATGTCGAGAGATCTGTTTCCCGAGATTGAGAACTTGATTTCAACCGCAAATCCATACATCAGGAGGAAGGCCGCCCTCTGCGCAATGCGGATATGTCGCAAGGTGCCAGACCTGCAAGAGCACTTCATCGAAAAGGCCACCGCGCTTCTCTCCGACAGAAATCACGGCGTTCTTCTTTGCGGCCTGACTCTGGTTACGAGTCTCTGCGAGGCTGACGAGGAAGAAGGAGGCGAGGAGGGCATGGTTGAGAAGTTCAGGGCATTTGTGCCTGTGCTTGTCAAGACGCTCAAGGGCCTTTCGACGTCAGGATATGCCCCGGAGCACGATGTCACGGGCATTACCGACCCCTTCCTGCAAGTCAAGCTTCTGCGGTTGCTGCGAGTGCTGGCCGTCGGCGATGCCCACACGAGCGAGCAGATCAACGACATCTTGGCGCAGGTCGCGACCAACACCGATTCGTCCAAGAACGTCGGAAACTCGATTCTTTACGAGGCCGTGCTTACTATTCTGGATATCGAGGCCGATTCGGGTTTGAGAGTCCTTGGTGTCAACATCTTGGGCAAGTTCCTTACCAACCGAGACAACAACGTCCGCTACGTCGCGCTCAACACCCTCATCAAGGTGGTTGCCATTGAGCCCAATGCCGTCCAGAGGCACCGGAACACCATCTTGGAGTGTCTGAGAGATCCCGATATCAGCATACGGAGGAGGGCTCTCGACCTGAGCTTCACCCTCATCAACGAATCCAACGTCCGGGTGCTCATCAGGGAGTTGCTGGCCTTTTTGGAAGTTGCAGACAACGAGTTCAAGCCAACCATGACTAGCCAGATTGGAATTGCCGCCGATAGATATGCCCCGAACAAGCGATGGCATTTTGACACCATGCTACGAGTCATGTCACTGGCGGGCAACTACGTCAAGGAGCAGATTCTCTCGTCATTTATTCGACTCATTGCCACTACCCAGGAGCTCCAGACGTACGCCGTGCAGAAGCTGTATACTAACCTTAAGAAAGATATTACCCAAGAAAGCTTGACCCAGGCTGGTGCCTGGTGCATAGGAGAGTATGGCGATGCGCTGCTCAAGGGTGGGCAGTATGAAGAGGAGGAGCTTGTCCAGGAGGTCAAGGAGGGCGATGTTATCGACCTGTTTTCCCTCATCCTCAACAGCAGCTATGGCACGCAGGTGACGACGGAATACATTGCCACTGCTCTCATGAAGCTCAGCACGCGATTCTCCGAGGCCGCTCAGGTAGAAAAGGTGCGGCGCATCCTGCAAACGCACCAGACCAGCTTGGATGTGGAGGTGCAGCAGCGAGCTGTGGAATACGGTAACCTGTTTGCATTTGACCAGGTTCGCCGAGGTGTGCTTGAGAAGATGCCGCCTCCACAGATCAAGGAGGAGTCGAGGGTGCTGGGCCGGGCTCCTTCAAAGAAGGCCAAGAATGCCAACAGAAAATCCAAAATCCTCAAGCCTACCGAGCAGGACCTTTTGGACATTATGGATTCGCCGGCCACCATTGCTGCGCCCCCAAACGGATCCCAAGCAACCAACTCGGATCTCCTTGCCGACATTCTCGGGGGCGGATCCCCGGCGCCGCCCACGTCTGGCTCCCCCGGGCCTCAGCAGTCCAACATTTCCTCCATCATGGACCTCTTTGGCCCGGGGCCGGCCGCCCAAGGTACCCCGTCACCAGCCCCTGCTTCGTCCGGCCTGGATATCCTGGCGGCATCCTCACCACCACCACAGCAACCGCAATCACCAGCAGCCCAGGGCCAAACATGGCTTCCGTGCTACAATGCCAATGACCTCAACGTGACCATGCAGATTCAGCGTAACGCGGCGGGACTCATCCAGGCCGTGGCTCGATTCCACAACACTGGGTCTGTTCCTCTATCTGGTGCCGGATTGCAAGCAGCTGTTCCAAAGACTCAGAAGCTGCAGCTGCTACCTATTGCATCCGAGGAGATTGGACCCGGAGCAGAGACCACTCAGGTGATGAGAGTATCTGGTTGCAAGGGGGTAAGTGCTTTTTCCACCCTTCCAAATGATATACCGCCATTGGACTTCTACGTACTAACAGATGTTACCACAGCCACTGCGATTGCGACTGCGTCTCGCATTCTCCCACCCTGCGGCAGGGCAGGTTGTGGACCAGGTGAATTGGTCGGAGCAATCGTAAACGGATGGATTCTTTTGCAGCGAGCGGCTACGCTACTAGGGGGGCTATTGAGGCTTAATATGGAATATAAACAAGGAGGGTATTGGTGAAGGGGGGTTGTAGATATCAAAAATCATAGGGAGTATAAATGTAGGGTGATTTTGAGGCTGAAATAGGGCATAATTACGTATGAGGCATCAATGAGAGTTGGCTTACGGATTACTTTATGCGTGTAATTGTAAGCCGAGGACTTTGATTTTATGAAATTTGTATACACAATACAACAATTACAATTAGACATTTCTGGATTAACTTTTATTACATTTGATGAAATGTCCGATTTGGCTTTGAGCTAGCGGCGTGAACTTATATGGCGTCAGCGGAAACCCTTCATCTGCCTCTTTCTTCGGAAATAGAGTCATGTAACTTGAAGTCTGCATCTAAAACATGAAGAAACAGAACTCTTGTATCTTGAAAACTTGATGCTGTGGCGAATAGGGTGTCGTGCACAATTAGTTTCGGGCGCGTTACGGTCTAACAGGACGACATTTGGTGGGACGGCGTTGATGAAGAGGATGGCGTCCAAGGGGAGGGAGGGACATCTTGAGAGGACGGCGGGGGAGCCGAGAGATGCGGTAAAGAGTCCCTCTGCTAGTTTTTCTTTTTATTATTTTCCTTTAGAGAGCGAATATAGTCGTGTGGAGATGTGATTGATGAGTAGATGCTCATTGCTGAGGTGTTTAATGTTTTAGGATCTTCATGAGGTGCGGCTGAGTCGGATTGACCAGGTCAATGAGAGGGTGAGACTGTTTCGCCTAGATCTTGTCGCTGGTCCCATCAAGGTAAGTCAATCTTTCATCCAAATTCTCTCATAGTGAATGATTTTTAACTAAATAGAATAAATGCATGTTATAGTTTCTGCCCGGCCAATGGCTCGACACGTACATCCCCGGCGTAGTCAAAGCAGGCGGCTTCACAATCACGTCCGCCCCCTCGGCCGCCCTCGCCAATGTTTCTCCTCATCTCGAGCTCGCGGTGCAAGAATCGCCGGACAACGAGCCCGCGGCGTGGCTGTGGCGTCCCGAGAGTGAGATTCTGGGGGAGGCGCTGCGTGTTCGCGTGGGTGGTAAGTTTGTCTTTCCGCCGGCCGAGGGGGTGCCGAAAAAGGTGGTTTTCGTTGCTGGCGGCGTGGGCGTGAATCCTCTTGTGAGTATGTTGAGTTGTATTGCTGAGGGGAGCGGGAGGGGCCCCGTTGATGTGAGGTTTATTTACGCGAGTAAGCTTCCCCCGAGGAGCGGCAAGCTTTCGGATATTGTCTTCCTTGACAGGATCACGGCTTTGTTCGGGGAGGATAAAGTAAAGGGCGAGGTGAAGCTGTATGTGACGGCGGCGGGAAATGCTGTGTCTCAGGGGACGACGTCTATCAACGGGGCTCAGGTGGAGGTACAGCCTCGACGGCTTACCATGGCGGATGTGGAGGCGGCGATTGGGGATCGTGAGGATCAAGGGACGGTGGTGTATGTTTGTGGACCGCCGACGATGACGGACGAGCTTGTTGAGAAGCTTGCGGCCGTCGTGGATCCCCAGCGAGTTTTGACGGAGAGATGGTGGTGAGGTCATTTACAACTAGACAGACGCTTTATCATATGTAGAGTTGGAATTTGTCATGGTGTGATTTTATACTATATCCATTTATGTGCGCGCGACCCCAACGCCCATGGTATCATCAAACTGGCCGTCCCGATAACTTTGATTTCCGCTGGTTGTTAAATCCTTTCCTCCCTCACATGAGCACCGCAGCTGTCACGGTTCATTTCATCTCACGAACCAAACTAATGCCAATCTTTTCATCCCTTTTATTATATCCCCTTTTGCTCCTCCCCCCTCATGAGAACAAGTCTTCCGCCTTTTGTCTCTTCTTTGTTCGGTTTATATCCAACAGCTCCTTGCCCGCATTGCCCGATCCAAATTTGCCGGGAAACAGCTCGCGGGCATTGGCGGCTCCTTTGATGGAGAAGCCGCCGTCCTTGCCCTGGGCGCGCTGATTGGCGACGCCGCGAATGTTGAGGCCGTCGCCGGCTGGTTCGTCTGGCCTGACGACGATCTTGGGCATGTCCTCCTCCTTCAGCCGGGCTGAGCCAATGGCCTTTTCGAGCTGGTCCAGCTGCCCGCCCCTGTTAGACGGCTTGGTAGGGAAGAGCTCTTTCGACCTGGCGTCGCTTGCGAGGCGGCCCCTGATGGACCGAGCCTGCGTCCTGTTACCTGCCGAACTGGCGAGGCCGTCCATCGCTGCGTCTCCATCGTCGTCGCGGCGCGGAGACGCAGACCTGTCTCTTCTGGTGCTTGATCGCCCCACTGCGCGATCTGCAAACAGCTCCTTGCCGCGATTGTTTCCTCGAGCGTCGGGTCTATCGTCCCGAGAAGACTGCGGCGCATCGTCGTACATGCTCGCCTCGAACGTCTCAACCTCGTCATCCGAATAACGTCTTCGACGACCTCCGTTTCCTCGGTTATCGCGGTCACGGTACCGAGAGCGGTTTTCCTGATATCGCCTCCGCCTTTCTTCAGGGTCGTGTTCGGGATGGAGGAGGTAGTATCGGCTGCGCAGGGCGGCGCCGGCCTGCTTCTTGTCTGCCAGCATCGCGAAGCGAATTTGTAGAGAAGTCTCGGGCTTTCCCTCGAATGGTTTTGCGGGAATCGTCTCGCCAATGCTCAAAGCGGTCGCATCTGAGATGTCAATAGCACTCAGGGCAACAATGGCATCGCGGGCGGCGGGTTCGGAGCTGAAGACGAGATTCGCTGTGCTGTCGTCAATCCATTCCACCTTGTCCACGATTCCGTAATGAGCCTTGACGTATGTTTTTATGTCGTCTGTGTGTAGGTTATCCAGGCCTCTGATGTGAATCTTTGTAGGGACAATGGTGTTTGACGCGTCGTCCTCTTTGGCTTCTCCGTCGTCGGCTACTTCGCCTGGCTCTTCTGGCTCGTCCGGGACCAGGATGTCGTCACCTTGCGGGATGTGCTCGTGAACATCGGTGCCGTCCTGAAAGGCCTCGCCAATGGCGGCATCGTCCATATCAATGTCCAAATCCATGACTCTGGGTGTGATTTTTTTGGCAATGGTCGAGACACGGGGCAAAGGCAGGTGGCGGATATTATAAGACGGGACGAGATAAAACTCGGCGCTGAATAGACGGGCAAGCAATGATGCAATTGGGGGAGATGCAGGCGGAGGGAAGGAGAAGGAAGATGGCGTAATCTCTTCTCCCTCTGTCTTTTTTCCTTTTGAATGTCCAAGAATGATGTGCAATATCAAGTCAGCAGCAGAGAAGAGACCGGGGTTGGAAGGATACGATGGAGAGGCTCGCTGGGTGGCAGAAAGGCGGCTGTGAGACGCGAGAGGCGGATAAGAGGCGCGGCTGGTTAGGCGGTGAGGCGCCTGTGCTCAAGCGCCGAAGTGTTAAAAGGGAGTTGACAGAAGTACCCTCCAAGCGCGGGGGTACCTACAGTTCAGTGCATGTGCTACAGGAGGTACTTTACCCCGGCTCAGGTGCAGCAGAGGATACCTACAGGTAAGCATGAACTGTTTTGCAGCTGATTTTTCAACACTTCAATTGCTACCAAGGTGGTAACTCAGCGCAGCTGGATGCAAACTTCAGCAGCAATTAAATCATGTACAGACCTTGTGTAAGTAAATAATACCCGTACCTCAGGCGGGATATAGAAACATCAATCTTATAAGGTACCTTAGGTACCTTAGTAGTGCACCTTAGTACTAAGGTACCTAGTAGGTACTAATCTGTAGAAGCATTGCCAGCCTCTACCTAAGGTACCTTACTTCAGCGCCGCCCTAATGGTACCTCCAGTGTTGCCTCGCAGGTGCCTCAGCGCCGCCTCAGCGTGGCTTCAGCGCATGGGTCCGCTGGAGAGACGCCGCTGGGCTGAGAGCCTGCGCAGTCAAGCCACCTGTGGCGGCACGAGCCCCGCGAACCCGAAAAACCCACCATCAAATGGCAATTCATCACGAAGCTCTGGCTCGACTCCAGCTTGGCCTCTTTTTGCGACTCGCACGATTGCACCTTTTTGCGGTGCTCGCTCATACAAACAGAGTGCCGTCTGTTGCTCGTCGCTTTTCTCTTCCCTGAAACATCATCTTTGTCTCCCTCTCCCTCTCCCTCTCCCTCTCCATCTCCCTCAGAGCTGCCGCATTGCTCAACACACCACGCTTCCACAAGATCCTCCCCCCACCAACAATGTGTCGTCTCTCATAACCTGCCGATCATCCAATGTCTCAAGATCCTCGCAACGCCCTCAGCGCCCTCCTCAGGGCCGCTGATATCCAAGACCACGAACAGATTCTCAACGCCGCCAACGCCGCCATCAAGGCCGACAAGAGCGACTATGCCGCCCAGCACACCAAAGTCGTCGCTCTCCTAAAGCTCGATCGCTTCGACGATGCCCTCCGTGTCATCAGCGGCGGCGGGATCAAGCTCCAGGCCACGTGCATCCTCGAGCAGGCATATGCGCTTTACAAGACCAGCAAGCTGGAGGAGGCGTCTAAGCTGATGGAGACGGCTGGCCTGGAGAAACGCAGCCTTCGTCATGTCGCCGCTCAGGTCGCCTACCGGGCCGAGAAGTCTCACGAGGCCGAAGCCATCTATCGCAACTTGCTGGACACAGACGCTGCCGGCGAGGAGAGCGACCTCAGAATCAACATCACCGCTGCCGTTGCCCAGTCTCAATGGCAGGGCCTTTCGTCCTCTAGCCCCGAGTCCGCCCCCGACTCTTTAGATACCTTTGAGCTGCGCTACAACATGGCTTGCCGCGAGCTTGCACGAGGAAACACGAGTCTTGCTGCTACCCTGTTGCAGCGCGCTGGTATCCTATGTGACAACTCGGACGAACTCACCGATGAAGAGAAGAAGACGGAGCTGCGATCCATCCGTGCTCAGCAGGCATATCTGTTTGCCAAAATCGGGAAGCTCAGCTCAGCTTTGGAAGTGTATGAAATGCTGGGCCCTGCGACGTGAGTATAAGGCACCCCTCCCGCCGTCCTCTTCCACAATGATTTCCATTTCACACATTCTAACGCTTCTACTCCCACAGTGCCAATGATGGCCGTGATTTTGCCGTCATTACGCAAAACAACCACTTTGCCTTGGAGGAAACTGGCAACCCGTTCGTACGCCAGCGCAAGGCGGAGTCTTTAATGGCATCAGCAGCCCAGAGCGATCTCTTCAGCTACCAAGCCAACATTCTCAAACGCAACAACCTCGTCATTGATCTCGGGGCCTACAAGACCAACGGTGTCGCAGACAGGACAGAAAAGATCCTGAGACAGACAACGCTTCCTTCGACAAACTCGCAAATCAACGCAGCGGCCATCATCAACGCAGCTGCCCACACGCAAGGACTGGACAGCAAGGAGGCGCTCCGCAAACTACAGGCAGTGGTGGCCAAGCGTCCCAACGACGTTGGCCTCACCTTGACCATTGTCCAGCTGCAGCTTCAGCAGCAACAAGCCGGCGCCGCCTTGACGACTCTCACGACTTTCCTCTCCCGCCTAGAGTCTTCCGGGGAGGTGAACGACACAGACGTCCGCTTCAGCCCCGGTCTGGTTGCTCTTGCAGTCTCCTTATTCCGATCACAGAAGCGAGATGCTTCGGCCAAGGCTGAGATTGTCAAGGCTGCCCAGTACTGGCAGAACCGCCCATCCCAGTCGGTTGGGTCGCTTCTTCTCGAGGCCGGGATCGAGCTCATGCGATCATCCAAGTCAGACGACCTGCTGCTGGCGGGTTCATCGTTTGACAAGCTATTCTGGGAACAGCAGGGCTCTGATGTGGCATCCGCCGGACTAGTCGCCGCCTATGCAGCGTCAGACGCGTCCAAAGTCAGAGAGCATGCCGACCGGCTGCCGCCCGTCCACGACTTGATCAGCGGCATCGACGTGGACGAGCTCTTCGCGGCTGGCGTGGCCGCCACCCCCGGCAGCGCCGTCTCCAAGAAGCGCCCAGCGGCGACGGAAGAAGGCAACGCCGAAAGGGCAACCAAGCGGCGGCGGAGAAAGCTGCCCAAGAACCTCGTCGAGGGCAAGGCGCCCGATCCGGAGAGGTGGCTGCCCCTGCGCGACAGGTCGTCGTACCGCCCCAAGGGCAAGAAGGGCAAGAAGAGAGCCGGCGAGGCTACTCAGGGAGGCATGGTCAAGGAGGAGGAGACGCTGGGGCTCGTGGGCGGCGGCGGAGTCAAGGTGGAAAAGGCCGCGGCGCCCTCGTCCAACAATAAGAAGAAGAAGAAGGGCAAGAAATAGGCTCTCGATAATATGCAGATGTGATGTGGTAAACATTGTATACATATGTATGACTCGGAGAGATGGGGGGAGAGGGAGGGAAAGCTGGAGCCGGAGTTGGAACGGGCTGATACCGAGATACATGCTATTTTCTGGGCTGTTTTGGAAAAAAAAAAGGGTAAAAAGAAAAGAATATCATAGCAATCTACCATCATCTTCTCACAGTATCACCAAATCTTGCCGTCGCCACAGTAAGGAATGGCATCCATCGCTTCATGACATGGGGTAAACCAAATTATAATTGTATTTGAAATCATGTAGCTTTGTTTCCTGCTAGCTATAGAATCCTCCCACAAATATTACACCCCACTATAAGAAGAAGAAGAAAAGAAGAATCGAAGCTGATGAGTTTGTGGCAAATAGGTTTGTCTATGCATGTGATTTCGTATGGTATATATATAAATATAGTATAAATGGTATATGTTATCTCCACGTGGCCTCGTTCGGGATATATAGCCATACCGCTGTCAAATAATTAAAAGAGAGAGAGAGTGAGTGTAAGGGAGAGAGACAAAGACGTAATAAGAAAGTTGGGCATTCGGGGCTCAAAAATCAGGCTTATTGGCTTTCAACAAAAAAGAAGAAGAAATGAGTGTGACAAGTTAGTACGCGTAATATAGAATGTTGTTGTTGTTGTTCCCCCCCTTATCAACGGGGGGAATGGAAATTGAGACAAGAATGATGAATGATGAAAACACACACAAAGTAAAAAAAAGGGAAAAGAAACAGGAAAAAAAGAGACGCTGGTGATTGGTTACCAGAGCCAGCCCATCATGGTCAAAATGTAAAAACCTCCTTTTTTTTGTTCGCCCTTCACACAACCCGTTTCCTGCAATACTCGCTAAATAGACATACATATTTCGCACCCTCTAAAACAAAGAATTTCTGGACCATCATTTTCTTTCTATCACTTCCAAGTTTTCATGCGTTGACCGCCTGAAGCGGAGGGTTGGGCAGCGATTCGGAGTCGTGTGTTGAGGACTCCTCTGTCTCCTCGGCTTTTTCGTTGGCTGATTCCTGGCCCGGTGCCGGGGTTTCCGGCCTGTCCTCTACTCCCTCATTCTCTTCCAATTCCAATGTGGTATCTTCATCCTCATCTATAACCGAGTCGGCCCTGGGCGCTGCTGAGCCTGCATCGTCTTCCTCTCTTTCCATGGGGGGCAGAGGCGATCTTCGACCGTCAGAGAAGCTCACTGCCGCCTCGCTTTCCGCATCTGAAGGAATAGCCAGCCTTCCGGCTGCGGACACGCTTCGCGCTGCCGAATATTTCCGGTGAAGCTCGCGAAAACTTCTTGCCGTGGCCGTGCTGGCGCTGGCGGCGGATCCCCTTCGGTCACGAGACACGCTCTGCTCCAATGGAGTTTCGGGCACGGAGTAAAAGTCGTCATCTTGTTCTTCGCTAAGGATGGGAGAAGCCGGAATGTCGGTTGACTGCCGGTAGCTCTGCTGCTGCTGCTTCCGAGCTAGAATCTGCTCCTCGTTGTTTAGGACTTGCAGCTCTGTTCCCAGTTGGATGACAGAAGCCTTCTTTCCGTGGACAACAAAACTTCCCGTTCCTCGTGCCAGCATACTGTCGCGGGCATTGTCCTCTGACGATGCGGCCGGACCCGCCTCCCTGCCCCTTCTGCTGCGATGGTGGGAGAGATGGCCAGCACTCTCCCGAAGGGTACGTTGGAGACTGCGTCGAATCTTGCTTCTCTCGAATTGGTTGGTTGACTCACCAGCATCTCCAGCCGTGGAGGTGATGGATTTGTCTGACGGATCCCTGCCTATTCTTCCTTCCAACAGGCCAGCCTGTTTCAGCAATTGTCTCTCCTCAGCATCCACTTCGTCATGTGTGTGATTCGACTTGACAGAAGTTGCATCACCCTCTTCGTGTGGCTCGAGCGGCTGCTGCTTGCTTTGCGTCGGTTGCACAGGGGAGGGGGCGATGCTTGAAACCGAGCCATGCCTGATACTTCCAATGTCCACCTTGGGTGTTTCTTGCAGTTCAAGCTGCGACAGCACTTCGCTCGTTGGTCGCGTCGCCGGTGGAGATGTTGGTCTCGCCGGATCTTGCAACTCCAAGTTAAACTCATTCTTGTCCGAGAAGAACTCAGGGTGTGCTTCTACCAGAGGTGACTGGGGAAGCTTCTCAGACATTGCCTTGGACTGAGACTCGGGGCGCTTGGCTGCAACCGTTGATGGATGCGGTGCTGAAGAGACACGACGCTCTTCGATCGAGGGCCGGATGTCAGTCGAAATCTTGCCCTCAACCATTTCTCCCTCCTCCTCTAGGTCCAGAGCCAGGATATCACGATGGCACTTCTCCTTCCAAATCTCCATTCGCGCCCACCTAAGTTGCGCAGACATGCGAGCCGCGGCCAAGAGAAGTTGCTCTCTCGTCCTCGGCTGAACAGGTGCAAGTATCTGAAGGTGGCGGGCATTTCTCAGCTGTTCTTCCAGGGCCTTTTTGGAGTCTTCTATCTTGCGATCCGCCTCGGCAATCTTTTCCTGCATAAACTCGCGTCTCGCCAGTTGGATATCCTCAGCCATCTTGTGGTCGATGCGGCTCCTTGCAATCGATACAAGGCCAGTCGGTGTCTCGACAAGTTGCGTGGCGTCAGAGCTGTCAAGCCTCCTGAAAGCTCGACGGCTGTGGCCGTCGTAGGTGCCTCCAGCAACGCCGCGCATCTTGACGCCGGATGTTCTAAAGGCAGCGGCGTAGTTGAGTTTTGCCAACCAGTCGTTGAGCTCGTCCTCATCATCGGCCAAGAGAACCTCGTCCAAGCCTCCCTGCCTGACGTAGATGAAAGCGTTCTTGTGCTTTTTATAAGATTCATCCAGCAGAGCTACGGCACCCTTAGTAGACATGAGAGCATCTGGCTTAAATTCCTCCAAGGGGGGCTTAAAAGTGATGGGTATCCCATCGTGGCCGGCTTTGATATGGCTTTCGTACTGATGCATGAGATTTTTGACCCAGCCAGTGTTGCGGAAGAAGTAGAGCTGGGCGCCCGTTAGGATGGCTCCCCATTCCTGCCACGGAGACCGTGTCTTCCTCTTCTTGGCTTCTTTCCGCCACAGGAGGCCGACTTTTGTGATTTTGATGTCGACAATGCCGGGTGCGTCATCTGGGTTGTTCAGGGGTTTATCAGACATGAAGGCGTCTGGTCGAGACCTTGCAGAGACAATCTGCAAGACGCCGGTTCTGAAGAAAGTCTTTTGCAGGTCCTTCAGATTGAGGGTTTGCCCCGTGCCTAGATAGTGATACTGGTCCTCCAGGGGAATCGTTGACTTGAGGTTCGGTCGCAGGACGTCCAGGTTCCCGTCAATGATGAGAGTGTAAGGATCGAGCGGTTCTTTCGCAGCTCGCTTGGCGGGGTCGCCAGGAGGGGGAGGGAGGATCTTCCGCTTCGACTTGATGCTGCCGTGGCGCTCGCTGTTAAGGTCAAGGTCATCTTCGACGTGGATGAAGGGGGTATAGCAAATGTTGTCATAGAAACATTCGAGAATCTCATCAAAGATGCCCTCTCCGCGGGTATTCTTTAGGTAATCAGTCTTTTGCATCTTGTGCTTGTTGTTCTTGTTGAAAACGTCCGTGTGGAGGATGAGGAGAGAGAAGGCGATAAAGTATGCCTGGTCGGGCGAGGAGTAAATGCCGGGGTTGCACTCGTGGTAGCGGTTAGCAAATGCCTGAAGACACCTGTCTATCTGCTGCGTTTCCTTTGGAAGCTCAGCCTCCATGAGGAGCTTGCGGATGGCCATGTCCATAGGATCTCCAAAAAAACTAAAGGTCCTCATGAAGCTTCTTAGAGCGGCCGTTGAGAAGGCATCAGTCCCCTTGGATAGCGCGGCGGCCACGACACCCCGGCTGACCACGCCTTCTATGCGAGCAATGTACTTGGCAGGAGATTCATCCTCAAAGCGCTCCGGAAGAACTATGGAATCCCTCGGCAGCTGGAGCGAATTGCTCTTGGAGGCGACGGATCCCGGCGTGGCGGGTGTGAAGGAGCCCTGCCGACTCAGGTCGGAGTTCTGACGGAGACGGGTCAGGCCAAGGAGATCGCCGAAGCTCTTGCGGCCGATGGAGGTGGATGTCCGCGAATTTGTGGGCGGGCCGAGATGTTCATCGTTGGAGTCTCTACCTATGGAACTTAACGTGGACGATCTCCCACGCAGCAAGGTAGACCTATTTGGAGAGGAGTGGTCGGAGCGAGCGCCGCCGTTTGCGTTGAAGAGGGCAATAGTCGGGTTAGGGTGAGGGCCATGTTCATTCTCGACTGGGTGAAGGCTGGCACTCTGGGCTGAAGCTGGACGCGGTGTCGCCTCGACTCCCAGGGATGTGGTGGAGGATCCGTCTGCCGGAGTGCCCTTTTGCTGAAGGTGTGCAAAGGGAAATAGCGGCTCCGGCGGCCGCTTGTTTCTGCGCAGCTTGAAGAAGGATGTAGATGATGCGGACTTTTTGGGAGTAGAACTGAGGCTAGCGTGAGACACTCGATCGGTGGAGCTAACATCTGATCTTGAGGACTCGGATGGTCGAGGTGCTATGTTGAGTCCGGTGCCGGTGGAATCGACGGTCGTCTGGGTCGAGGGCCGCGGCGATTGAGGCTCGGGATCATCTGTGACGCTCAGCGAAGGTCGTCCTTGTTCGCCCATGGACTTTCTAGGCATGGGTTCGTGGCGATGACTAGAGAGAGGATCGTTACGAGGGATATCGGTGGACCTTCGCAGCATTGAAGCCAGTGCTAGGCGGGAGGATGATTTCTTCAGGCTGTTCGCTTCCATGGGCATGGTGGGAGCGGTGGTGATGATGGCAGGAGCTAGAGGAGCAAGAAAGGGAAGAGTCAGTCGCCTTGATGTCTCGAATGACCATGGCAGGGAGAGCGTGGGGTTTCAATCTCGGATCTGGGATCTAGAAATAGATAGATATGGAGATGTATCTACAGATCGAAAACTTTGATCTGAATTTGAAATTGAGGGGGGGAGGTAGAGGGGGAGATGGATGGAGGGGACGGGATAGGACAGGACGGGGGGGGTTGGTTTACGTCGAGGGACAGGAGGAGGCTTCTCGGCCGCCTGCTTGACACGGAGAGACAGCTGCGAGTCGGAGGCATTTCGAAAGCGGAGGACGGAGAAGCGGCGGTGCTTGTTGGACTGCTGCTGGACGGGCGGCGTGGACGGGCGGTCGAGCGACGAGCCAGACTCTCGAGTCTGCGGTCGTTCGAGAGGCATGGCGGGCTCGTCTTCGGGCTGGGGCGGCGGCGGCAGTTCGGGGACGTCGTCAGAGGCCGGCGCAAAGGCAGTGGTGAGGCGGCGCATGTCGGTCTCACTGGCCATGTTGCCGCGGCGGCGTAGAAAAGGCATGATGGCCGATGGTCATGGTCTGCCGCCGCTGGGGGCTCCCGGTGCGGCCGTACGAGTGTGATGAACAAAGGTCCGTCCAAAGGCTCCAAGGTTCAAGGTTCAAGGTTGTTGTTTGGGATGGGCTACTAGTAGGTAGCTAGCTGGATGCGCCAGGCGCGTCGAGAAGGGGCATTGAGCGAGGGAGCGGCAGAGGGTCGAGACGAAGTTCTGCACAGACGAGAACGCACAGGCGGGAGATGAGATGACAAGAGAGGCGAGAAAAAGGGCCCAGGGGAGGGGGGTTTGGCAAATCAGCACAATATCGACGCCATTCTGGAGGTGCCAGAACTACTACCTAATGTACGGTAGGTAGAGATTACAGATTACATGTACATGCATGGGGGTTGGCTTCAGGTCAGGTTGGCATTGCATTTGGTGAAGGGGCTCTGGAGACTGGAGACTGGGGGACTGGAGCTAAAAGTGTACGCGCGTGTACTCGGTACCGCCTTCGTCAATTGGCCCCAAAACGAGCGAGCGCTGCTACCTGACGATACAAGCGTGAGGCTGATGCGCCTGTGGATCCGCACGTCCAGAACACTCGCAGAATGTGCTTACAGGGCCGTTGCGCTGCTAAAATAGAAACAGACGTGCTGATGTGCTCTCCATTCTGCAGTGGTCTGGCCTGGTGTCAATCATGTCCGAGTGCCACGATTGCTTGCTGACAGGTTCTGTGTGGCGGGCATGACAGCGGACAGACGGAACTAGAAGGACATAAAGTTTTGCGCAGCCCGCTCGGAGGAAAATCCTCGTGCTCCATTGCCCATCATCCACGTTTTGCTACCTACTAACGTACTGTATACCTTATGAAGTATACAAGTAGTACATGATCCCGCCTCGAGGGATTGATTGATTTCCATGATCCATTCAAATTATTACGAGGCCTCGCTGCTCCAATCCATGTCTGGTCTTTTCATGCAAGCGCCCCCCCGGAACCAGCGGGCTTGTCTGTGCAAAAGCCTCTGCGTACATGTACGGGAGTACAGAGTACCTGCTATGTACTCGTACCTAATAGAATCCGTACCTGTACGAGTAAGGCATAATAAGGTACCTACCTACCTGTAGTAACTTCAAATAGCTACAGCCCAGGGCTCTGCTGCTCTGTACCTTCTTCCAAGCAAGCATTGACGCTCCGGCACAGCCCCGCCATCAAGTACCCAGTACCTACGGGGCAGCGCTGCTCCCGGTAGCTGCGCACCACTGCTCGCAGCACGTCTACAACGGGATCCGGTCCCCGCTACTCCGTATATTCTCCGGGGCCTCCATGTCCAGTTGGCCTTAGCGGTAGCCGCCCGCTGTTGATGCGACCGGCTTTGCTCGTACAGCGCCAGGTTGCCAATGTCAGTGCCTGGAGCATAGCCTTCCGTGGCCCCATCAAGCTTAATGTTCTGTCACCACCAACTGGAACGTTTAATGATGGACTGCACTGCATGTTCCATTTGATGTCCACTTTGACTTTTCAACCGCTTCCATCTGCCATTAGCCTCAGGTACCTCGACAAGAGTTCGCCTCATCCTCATCGTCATCCACCAACCAGCGCCATGCACAGTGATAAATAATTCAATTTGGTATTGTTATTGTTATTATTTTGTTTGATCGCCATCATTTCATTGACCCCACCGAGCCGAGTCGCTCACCAAAGCCGAGATGAAGCCAACGGTCGCGGCCGTCGTGGCCTCGTTGGCCCTCCTCGGCCCAGCCCACGGCGCTGGCATTGGGTCTTCGGGAATCCCCTCGCATTCGCCCTCGCACTCTCAGAGCCAGAGCCAGAGCCAGAGCCAGAGCCACCGCAACGACCTGTTTCCCTTCCTCACCAAGCTTCGCGATGGCGCCATTGAGCTCTTCTTTGGCCGCCATCCCTCCAAGGCCGCCCCCGCTGCGCCCAGATACTCTCACTCGCGATACGCCAACGAGCTGGTCTTGCGATTTAACGTCACCACTACCGCCGACGAGGCCGCCCTCGCCGAAGCTGCCGCCCAGCTTTTCCTTGATGTCTGGGCTTTTACAACCGAGTTTGTCGATATCCGGCTGCATGCCAAGGAAGTGCAGCCGCTGCTCAGTCTTCTACCTCCAGCCCTACGGGCATCACAATCAACCCTGATACCGGATCTGGCCGCCGCAGTGTACCAGCAGATGCCATCAGCCAAGAGCAGCACCTTGGCTCCAGAGGGGATTAGTTGGGCGCTGTCGGAGCCGCTGAGATCTGTTGATAACCTCTTCTTCCAAGACTACCAGCCGTTGCCCGTCATCGTCCGCTGGATGCGTCTGCTGGAAGCAATGTTCCCATCCTATGTCAAATTCATCTCCATCGGAAAATCGTTTGAAGGGCGAGACATTCCTGCCCTCCGCGTCGGCGTGCCGGAGCTTGCCGACCCCAGCAAGCCGCGAAAGATGATTGTCGTTACCGGCGGTCTCCACGCTCGAGAGTGGATTTCGACAAGCACCGTCAACTACGTGGCTTGGTCATTCATCACATCGTTTGGAAAGGAGCCGATGATTACCAAGTTCCTGAGCCACTTTGACGTCGTTTTCATCCCAGTGGTCAACCCCGACGGGGTCGAATACAGCTGGGAGGTCGACCGCCTGTGGCGCAAGAACCGACAGCAAACAAATCTGCGCTTCTGTCGCGGCATGGACCTGGATCATGCCTTTGGTTTCGGTTGGAACCATGCAGAGACCCAAAGCGACCCGTGCTCGGAGAGCTATGGCGGAGATAAACCTTTCCAGGCCACTGAGGCCGATGTGCTTGCCCAGTGGGCCAAAAACGAGACGCAGCACAATGTCAAGTTTGTCGGGCTGCTGGACCTCCACTCGTATTCGCAGCAGGTTCTCTTCCCCTACTCCTACACATGCTCCACCGAGCCTCCCAATCTCGAAAACTTGGAGGAGCTGGCCATGGGAATTGCCAAGGCGATTCGCTTGTCCAACGGAGAGTCGTACTCGGTCACCTCTGCCTGCGAGGGTGCCGTCGCTTCCACGGACTCTGGCGACCGCCACCCAGTCTGGCCTCGCATCGAATCAGGCGGCGGGTCCGCCATCGATTGGTTCTACCACGAGCTGGGCGCGCACTATAGCTACCAGATCAAGCTTCGAGACACGGGGAGCTACGGCTTCCTCCTCCCCAAGGAGTACATTGTTCCGACGGGAGAGGAAGTGTTTGACGCGATGAAGTACTTTGGAGACTATCTCCTAGGGAACAACGGCATCGAGAAGACGATTGGGAACATGGAGGAGATTGTGAATCTGGAATTCGACGAATCCCAGGAAACATTTGCAGAGCTGCGGCGCCGCAGACTGCGAAGATAGTGTCTTGAGGGGAGTGAACAAGCTGAGGCGTCTTGTTAGGGTTTTTATATTCTTCTTCTTTTTCGCTTCTGTCGCCATCTTCGGCTTTTCTTTGCTCAAATTTGATATCCTGTATAATAGTTAATTGGCACATGACGGGGGATACCGTCCCGCTCACAGAAGATGGGATGTGGGCACATTTACTTTGACACAAACACGCAAAAGAAGCATACGAGTGCTCCAATAGTCTACGAGAAACCCGGTCATCGTGAATCGAGGCAAAGCAGTTGTAGGGTTAGGCGAGCCACGAGAAGCTCCAGTATCACGAGCGCTGGGAGAAGGTGGGCGAGAGAAAAGCGTTTGTTACTTCAGCGTGGTTAGGAGATGGGAAAAGAAACAACTATAAATTTAACAAAGTATTGCTATCTATACATGTACATATCGAACAGGAGTGATTTCAATTGCCCAAGATGAAGACGACGGAGGTGTAAGCGGCCATGAGCTTTAGAGACAAATCTGCCGCTCCCGCGAAATAAGAACCGCTTTGACAATGTCAGTTAAAGGAAGACGGAATTTTCTTTTCATCTTCAGCTTTGAGTTGAACTTACAAAGCTCTGCCCTTGGGTCCGGCGTTGCTGGTGTAGCCGTAGAGGTAGAGGGTGCGGCCGAAAGACCAGCTCGCGCCGAGGATGGCGGCGGCGAGGGGGAATTGAAGGCCGGCGATGAAGAGGGCGCCGAGGGCTGAGGGCTGGTTCTCGATGAAGTTGGCGTGGGCACGTTGAGCTTGGAGGAGGAGGAGGAGTTAGTTTTTTCAATGGGGATTTTTGAAGCAATTTTAATGATGGTTGAACTGAGTTGAGACCCAATTGAGTGATATATAGGTTAGGACGAGGGGGAAGAGTGAGGAAATATGATGAGGAGCGAACAAGGCTAGAAATCTGCTGATTTCTTTTCTTTGAATGTAAGCGTAAATGGAAATGGAAATGTAACATACCGCAGTTGAACTTGTATGCAGCAGGATCCTTTTCAGCCTGCTCGTGGGAGGCGTAGCAGTTGGGGTAGGTGATTTTGCTCTCCTTGCGGAACTTGCCTGTGCGGGCCATGTGCAGGGCGTTGACGAAGAAGGTGGACGTGGCGGCGGCCAGGACGAAGCTGCAGTGTGTATACATCAGATATTTGTGTGTTTTTTCTCGAGGTGAGGATGATGATGATTTTTTGTTTGGTGTTTCATTGGCGTGTGAGACGAAAACTTACCCGTATGCGTCGGGGAGGGTCAGAGTAATGGCCATTTTGGACAGATTTACACAACAGCAATTGTATTCTTAAAAGAAAGTGAAATTATCGGTGAATAGTATTGGATCGTATAGTCGAGGTTGAACAACATTCGAGAGAATCGCAGTGGGCACCGTTGTCAATTTAAGCGTCTGATTGTCCGCCTCCCCCCTGAACAACTCATACGGAGCATCAACATACTGGACTATTTCCAGTACTAGTGTCCCCAGTTAGGCTATCCAGCCAAAAAGAAACTGGAACCCCCCCCCCCCCCCCCCAATTTTCCCAGCCCAACGGAGTACGGAGTGCGATGGGCCGTTTGGTTTGATACTTGGTTGAGACACGTACAAGGGGGGCGTATTGCAGGAGGAGGAACATGGGAGAAAAAAATAGAAGAGACGGGAGTTTAGTAGAGAGGAGAAACCACCGGAGAGGCAAAATCCCACCCCCCACTGCTTCCCCGTAACGTGTTCTTATTTTTTTTCTGGTGTTTTTTTCTTCTTTCTTTCTTACTAGTTTCCCGACTAAAAGACCCTTGCGGACGATGGGGAATTCCGAATGCCGTTTTGGGAGGGTTTTTTTGTTTCTTTTATGGATAAGACGGCAGCCGAGTGGGATTTTGGTTGCGGAGATGCACAAAATCCAGGTATGAGAAGGATTCATTGCCGTGATGGGTGCCGTATAGTGGTTACTATGTTGAATATAGTAGGTAGGTAGCGAGATAGCAACGGTATAGATTTCAGTCTGTCCGAATACACGTAATCGGCATCTATATGTACAGGTTAATTGTGGGCGAATTGATGCAGCAACAAATAGTAGTTGTTCTTGTATAAGTGAAAAATAGGTGCAAGACAACAGAACATATTCACCTCCCCTATAAGCCCCCTCCTATAAGCCATTACACACGCACAACACGAGATTACACATCGATACCACTGCGCACTGAAAAACACACCCGATTGATTCCTCACCGTCTGTCCCGGCATTGCAACATCCGCCGACAGTCCGTATCGAATCTTGCTCCCGAGCGCCACTTCGCATCTTCGCCTGCGGCTTTTCAATCCCACCCCAAGCCACAATCCATCACCACCCACGCAGCCCATCTGTTGCCTAACCCCCAGCTTTACCATGTTGTAACTCAAAACATATCGGCGTATTGTATACGAATCAAAATCATCGTCAATACGTTCGCATCGTCCGGGGCTCGCAAAAAGGGAATCCCTCGTCTGCGTCATCTCGTTCGCTTGGCTGCACGCCTCGCGCTTAGAGTCAGGCCGGTCCCGCGTAAAAGTCCGCAGCTCAACACCCAAAAGTCCGCTTTCAGCTCCCCCCGTTCCTTGCTTGATTCAGGTGAATCCATTGGGTTTGGTTCGATGAAGGAACGGTTATTCCCAAAGTCCTATAGTACATGTGATACAAAAACAAGCATGATGTTCCTTTCCTTGGGGCTGTAATGCGGATGAATTTCCAATGGTAGGGGGGTGTGTGTATACTCAATCGACGTGTTGGAGATGTCGAGATGCAAAAAAAAGACGGCAAAAAACATACAACAGCCGGTGTTCGCTGATGGTCTCCCACTCAACTACTAATCTGCCGGTTAGTGGCTTGTCCCTGGGGGAGCAGACGAGACCCCGAATTTTCCACTACCTATGGTCGTATGTGGAGGTTTACGGACTCTATTCAACTTATATACCGTCATTCCCGTCCCTCTCACTAGCTCAGGTATTATAGGCTGTTACTTTGAACGTGTGATGTAGACATGGACGACAACACCATCGCCAGAATCACCTAGTCTCCATGCAGAAAAGATTCTTCACCCCGTACACCTCTCTGCCGGAGGTCGCCATTCCAAACCGAGCCCCTCAAACACTCGCCTCTCTGCCGTTTCCATGTCTGGGGCCGGGCCTCGCTCGGAGCTCTCGAGATCCACCCACGCTCCGTCTGCCCTGTTCCGAACGCCGCTGCTGTCGAACTTGAATCCCATCTTTGCCTTGCAGTAGCGTCGAAGATCCCGCTGGAATGTTGTTTCTCCGCTCCATCCAAGGATTGCACACCCGACCGTCTTCCAGGGACTGACGATGATGTCGACTCTTCGGTGCGGACCATTGGTATCCTTGGGGTTCTGCCAAACCACCATGGCCTTGTCTAGCGTATCGAATCCTGATCCTGCGGAGCGGCCCTCGCCTTTCCACGCCACGGGGGCCTGTCCGCGCTCGCTATTCTTTGTCCATACGCTCAAGGTATGCGTAATGAAGCTGCTCTTTTCCAAGCTACTAACAAGCCTCTCAATGACGTCGAGTGTTTGAGTTTCATCGGGATGGCTCAAGACCACATCGACGTCGCCACTTGCAGGTTTGCCTCGCCGATAACTGCCCACGATGACCATTTGGAAACCTGGGTCTACTCGGTGTGCGTGAGCGAGTATGACACTGGCAATAGCCTCTGTCTCTTGCCGTAGAATCTTGAGCTGAAACTCGTCGTAGAATTTCACGCCAATCTGCTGTACCCGACTCAGTGAATTCCAGCCATGCTCTACGATATCATCAAGATCTCGCCAACCTGGTGGCACGCCAAGAAAGTAATTCGTTAGCACTCAGGAGATGATTGTTCAGTGACGAAGTACAAGTACGGCAAACATACCCTTCTTAAAGAATTGACGAGCAGTTATATCTCCCACTCCCCAAATATCGTAAAACGTCTTCAGCACAACAAGCTCAGTATCTGTCTTAGCCGTGCTAGTCTCATCGGTGCAGCCATTACTGGTCCATTGCTGATATAGCTTTGCAATCTTGGGACCGCATCCTGGTAGCCTTTCAGTTTCTGTTGGACAATATTAGCATATGAAAGGGAAAGGAAAAGGAACTGAATACAAGTCAACCCACCCTGTGGTCGCTGTAAAGAATATGGGTACGCCGCAAGAGAGGCTATTGAAGTAGAGTAGGCCCTTACACCCACCTGATCTCCTCGTAGAAGCCGCAGTGTACGAATGGCCTTGAGTTCCGCGATAAATGCAGCATTCGGCGGGTCTACAAGAGATGGTCTTTGGCACGAATATGTGGTATGAAGAAACTCGGGAATTGGCGGCAGCGGAATATCGTGCTCAGAGGTCGTCTCGTGATGTAGCTTCGGTGGTTCAGCAACTGGTCGTCCATCTGTACGACTGGTCCCTGGTCTTGTTGTCCGTTTCGAACGTGGACTGTCGTTGACGCTTTGCCGGTCCTCCATGGCTCGGGCGAGTACTGCCGAGGCTGACTTGGCTGCTTCATTCTCTTTCTTTGACTGATCAGTTCCGAGATTTGAACTCTGCAAGGGCTGAGATGCGAGTTTGCGCCCTCGATAAAGCAGGTAGTCATCGGCAGGCAGTGTGACATCTCGCTCGAGGCAATCGAATAGCCAAGCCAGCTTGAGCACCAAAACGATATCCCCTGGACCTCTCAACAGATCCAAAATGCCACCATGATTCTCACCCTCTCGGATTTTTGTATTTTCTGATCTCGATAGCCTCCGGCGTTTTGAAGGAACCTCCGATGCTTCACTTTGCCCACGCTTGTCACCTATCTCTTCTCTTCCAGCTTCCTCCAGAGCCACCGGTTCCGTCGCAAGCTTACGACGCCTCAGCTCAAAAAGGGCACGCCCGGGTCTAGATATCTTGCCCAGAATAACGCTGGCCTCGTGAACGTCGTGCGTCAGCGTAGGGATTCTCGCCTCCAACTCACGCAGTTCGTCTGCTTGTAAGTGAGTTGGGAGCAAGAAGATGCGAGGCAGGTCAGGAGCCATGGCGCAGGGCCTTGTGTGAGCCAAACAGGAGGGCCATTATCTTGGTTTTGTATAAAGAAAAGAAACTTCACTCAGGAGATAAAAATCAGCAGGATTCCCTGTTTTGTTTATTGACCGGTTGAACTTGCAATGAATGAATGACTCTGGTGTTGGGTGCAGTTTCGTCATTGTAACAGCGTGAATCCGGCTCGAAAGCTTCCTATTGGCTCACCAAGCCGCACTTGGGAAGGACTCGGCCCCGCTCTTTGTTTTTTGTCGCCGTTTCTAGCTGAGCAAACAAATAACAGTAGTAGACAAAGAAGAAGAGAAAGACAAAGACATCCGACCAACAGATGAATATAATAGGTATGATATAACAACACCCAACAGTCACATTGTTTCAAAGGAGGTGCGCAAATCCCACCATTGCTTCTCGACTGCTGTACAGTATCAAAAGTATCAAATATTCTCCCGTCTTTGATATAACCAACACTTGTCCGAGAACTGCTCGGTAACGTGAAAAAACGCCAGCTCCAAACTCTCCTGTGCAGTTCCGCGCGCTGCCAGATTGAGTTGCCCCTATTCTGTCTAAAATGCTCTTGTAAAAATACACAAACTTTTGAGATCCGTTGGGCGCGCGGGCCTTCAGACATCCTCAAACTCCAGCTCATCGTCGTCTTCGTCACCGCTGTCCGCCTTTTTAACTCCAGGCTCAACCTTGACCCGCTTGTTCGCCCTCTCATCTGAGCTGTCTTCCATTCGGGATACGTCACCTGATGGAACCTCCGATGCCTCAGTCTTAATGCCGGGCGTGCCCAGGCCCGAGTTGTTGCCCGTGGCCATGACATCTTCGAATTCGTCATCCTCCTCTTCGGAACCATACTCCTCTTCTTCGTCTTCATCATCTGCTTCCCGCGCCAAGATGGCAGCTTGCTCTGCCTTGAGCTTCTCGAAGATGTCATCAATCTGCGTAGTGGCATTGTTGTCGACCAATTTGCCCTGAGACAGTTTTCGCTCCGCTGCGTCTCTGCCCAACCCCAAAGCACCAGCTTCAGCCGTCGCAGAAAACGACTCTCCCGTAATAGTACTGTTTGACATCCAGGATGGGAGCGCGTTCTGCTGCGCAATCTTTTCTTTGCGAAGTCTGTCGGCCTCCTTCTCAGCCTCCGACGGCCCGTCAGACGTGGATATGTTGACGGCGATGGACTGCGGACCTGTATTGGCCAAGCCTCGAACTGCCATGGGCCGAGACGATGCGTCATCAACGGGTATCGTAGCTGCGCGTTGGTGCGTAGCGTCGCGGATCACTGGCCGAGCCTTTGACAAGGCCCGGTCAAAGTCGCATTCCGGAATATGGGCTGCGTCGATTTTAGGCAAGAGCTCGCTGATGAACTTGAATTGGTCATTCAGTCTAGTAGACTGTTCGTGCCCGCCAGCATTTCGATCTGCTTCAAATGACAAAGGTCGTCGGCATCGGTGACAAAGGAAGCCCTCGGGCCCAACGCTGTCCAAAACTTCCATCGCCGTCCATTCCGCCTTACAGAACGAGCAAAAGTATTCCTTCTTTTCGTTTACCGGCACGGTGGTTCCCTGGACTTCTTTGTCTATGTTGTAAACCCGCCACTTGATGGCGTCGATGGTATGTCGGTAGTTGATGTAGTACCATGTGCGATTACTCGGTCGCGGGTTGCCTGGTCGCAACTCGGATCTCGTGTGACTATTGGAGTAAGCTGCCCGTCCCAAAAGAAAGCATGGCTGAAATCTTCAAGCCTACACTGTCAGAAAGCGGTCTTCTCTGAGTTTTCCGCATATCTTGTGCAAGTCCTTGGTGTTGATGGCCATTAAATAGGCTAGATCGTCGTCGCGAAGCCTGTCCACAACTTTTCAGCTCATCTCTTTTCTCCACCAGGTCCCAAAATCCACAGAGAAGGCATACGCTTCATGAAGAATCAGTGCGTCCACCACAAGGATGTCTCGCGTCGGGTAGAACGCCCGCATGACGGCCTTGATTAATGTTACAGCGAGATCCATGACGCCGAACAAGTGTCTATTTTCGTCTCGTCGGTAAAGAGGTGTAGTCGGTACAATGCGAATATCGATAGGACCTGGGTTTGAGAGCGTAGATCGTGTAAAGGGCTCGCTCGCGTGAGCTTGGGATGTGGTGGCTGCGGTTTCGATGCGATGATGCGACAGCTTACGGAGCCGATGTGGTAGGGGATGGAACCTTGGTGGGAAAGGAATAACGAAATGTCGAGTGATCTGATGGGCATCACACGGAGAGAGGCGACGCTGCTGGGGGATGCGGAGGAAGAAAACAAATCATGGTCAACGAAGTGAAAATGGCATGGTTGTAGCGGCCTGTCTGTGGCTTTATCGATTCGCCCCAGTTATGCAAAGCAAGTACACGCCAGAGTTCGCCCTGCTCGCCTTGAACTGGTTCGCTTTTGCTGGAATAGCGATGCGTTATCTGGGGGACCGCAAATCGACCTATATTTCAGTCATTGGTGACGATACAAGAGTAATTTGGCTGCACATGTCAAGGTCCTGATGCAACTCGCCTGACCTGATATCAAGTGGCTGACCTGATTGACTTCTCATTTTTATAAAACTGGGGTAGCTACCTATTATACCTCTATTACCCCGGTCATTAGTAACCCACACAGTAACCGATATAAACTACACAAATACAAAATACTTATATAAGCAGCTATATAACTTAAGCCCTTAAGATAACTACCTTATACTTATAATAATAGTAAGATTATAGCAGCCTATAAGATTTATAATAGCATATAGCAGCTTATAATAGCTTATAATAGCTTAAAGTAGCTTAAATAGCAGTCTATAGCAGTTTATCAAGTAAATAGGTAGTGATTAAAATAATATAATAGCGGCTGATATTATTTTATAAAAGTATTCCTCTACAAAAGATATTAGCTGCTGCCCTCTATATTTACTAAAATTTCTTAATAAATCTTAGCAACTATACTTATTACAGGCATTTATACAGCCCCAGCTAGCGCGTATATAGCTAACCCGATGTTTCTAAATTTTTATAAAAAAAGCTAGCCTAATTAGGTATAGTAGGGGGTTTATGAAATTACGTCAGCCACTTGATATCAGGTCGGGCGAGTTGCATCAGGACCCAAGGTTTGTCGCGTCGTGCATCTTGCGTTCTTCTGCCTATCGAACCCGGAAGCCGGAAAAATATTCGGCCAGCGCATACACTTACATACACCCATGAACAGGCATTCAAACAATATTACAGTGAGAAACAGAATAAGCATGTTGAATCTCATTCAGTTAAACTGCTGATTGTATACCGAGTAATCAAATTGAAGTCTTTAAAATCACAAGGCTATTGATTGGCTCTACATGATATAATACATCGTGTCTTGAAGAAACCCATTGACACAACTAACAACCCAGCATGTAAAAGCGTGTGAATATATACATACACCAGCCTCCACTCAAAAGTCACCATACAGATATTTACAACTACTATGTCGTAGGAAGGTTCATAATTATCTACGATTCCATCCATCTCTTTACACAAAACTTGGCCGGTGCGGGGAGATTCGAATGTTACCACCGACCGCTTGCCGGTTTCCCGGAACTAGTTGTTACCAGTCATCCCGTCAACTCCACTGAACCTGGAGAGAGACCGATTACTTCGGGCTAAACAGCATCACGGGCCGAATGTCCCTTGTCTACAATCATGCGAAAGCCGCGAGCGACCGCGTTAGGGCCGCAAGATGACGGGCTCACTCCAGCGCGAGGATTGGCTCAGCAGCTACAGATATATAGACTAGAGTGTTGCGTGAAAGGGGGGAGCAGAATTGTGTTGTGTTTCTCTTCTTGAATCTCGTATAAGTCTGCTACATACAGAGTGCTCCATACTGAAAACACCATGAGACTCGCAGAACGTTCCACAACCACCGCGTTGGTAGCGGCTGCTGCTGTATCAGCAGCTTCATACGAAACATGCGTAAGAGACCAACCTTTCACCATCCCGATAAACTCACGATGCTGACCACTCTCCAGTGTGCTCGTCTCGCCTCCGCGCTGGGCGACATTGTCACCACCACGCCCTTCACCGCGAATGACTACTTCTCCATCCAAGAGTCGTCCCTCGTGCCGGCCTGCATCGTCCGGCCGCGTTCCGCACACGATGTTAGCAAGGCGGTGACCATCCTCGCCTCATCATCACCACGGACACCGGGATGCCAGTTCGCCGTCAAGGGCGGCGGTCACACTCCGGCCGGCGGCTTCGCCAACATCCAGGGCGGCGTGACCTTTGACATGGGACACCTGAACGCGACGGCGCTGAGCGACAAGGGGACGTCGGTCGCCGTCGGGGCGGGCGCCGTGTGGAACGATGTGTACGGCTATCTCGATGGATTCAATCTGTCTGCTGCTGGTGGGAGGAACGGTCTCGTCGGTGTTGGTGGCCTGCTCCTGGGCGGTGGCATCTCGCATTTCTCGCCGCGAGTTGGCTGGGCTTGTGATGGTGTTGTTGGATTCGAGGTATGCCCACTGACTATCCTTTTCAACCCTCTGTATTCTAACTTTTCAACCAAAAGGTCGTCCTCGCAAACGGCACCCTCGCAAACGTCTCCGCGGCCAGCCATCCCGACCTGTACCGAGCCCTCAAGGGCGGCGGAAACAACTTTGGCGTCGTAACGCGCTATGACCTCAAGACGTTCCCGCAGGGCAACATGTCGGTCAACACCTTCTCCTACGACGTGTCCCACGTCGGCGCCGTCTTCGACGCTTTCAACGACGTCGCCGCCTCGCCAAACTTCGACCCCTATGTATCCCTGCAGGCGGGCCTGCTGTACGCCTCCGCGGCGAAGGCGTGGTCGGTGAGTGCCTCGGCTTACTACACGAAGCCCGTTCTTCGTCCGGAGGTGTACAGCGGCCTCGAGGCCGTGCCGAGCATCTCCAACACCTCCTCCATCACGAGCGTGGCTTCGCTGGCTGCCGAGAATCCTACTCCGCCACTGTAAGTTTAAAAACCATCTCCCTACGATATATGCACCGTTTCCACGAAAGGACGAATGTTCGCTAATGCAGACTTTTGGTGGATAGCAACTGGCTCTTCGCTACGATTACGCTCGGGACCTCGAGCGAGACCATGCTAGACATCTTCAAGACTCTGAACGGGTCTTTGTACGACTTCAATCCCGCCGGTGGCGTCACATGGAACTTTGCCTTTGAGCCCCTCCCATCTGTGATGCTTTCACATTCTGCCGCCACGGGGGGAAACGTTCTCGGGTTGAACCCCGAGGATGGCAATGGTATCGGTAAGTTGCTCTACCCACAATCTTCTCGCATGATGTTCTTGTACATACAGGTCTAACTCTGACATCAACAGTCTTTCTTTTCTCTGCCCTCTGGCCAAACTCAAGCTCCAGCCACTCCATCTACCAGAAAGGTAGAGACACATTCGCGGCTATCAAGACGGTCGCTGAGCGAAAAGGGGTTCTGCGGGAGTTTGAGTATCTAAACTATGCCGGCCCGCACCAGTCGCCGCCGGCTTCTTACGGGGCGGACAGCCTGAACTTCCTCCGCCAGGTCAGCAAGAAGTATGACCCAACCGGAGTGTTCCAGCACAAGGTGCCTGGTGGCTTCAAGTTGTGGTGAGAACATACGTTTCATGGGACAAATGGCGTGACTATGGTTGAGGCTACTGACGGCACGGATATCGCTGTATAGACTGCTCAGTGAGCTGGTATTGTGTATATTAATTGACCTAGAAGCCCCCTATTAATGGGTTGAGAGGTTTGGAGATAATACGGACCCTTAATGTTAACACTGTACATGCCACACTATGCTACATATACTATAGCAAACAGTTCCAATGATAATCCGCTTTGATTGCTCTGATTCTCCCTTAATTCTCCTGAGTCCTGTAGTTCCAGCTTGGTATATACATCACACATACACTCTTCTTTACTCAACCTCTCCGTAGCTCCTGGGCGTCAAGATCTAGGAGGAATCCAATCCACAAACGGCCCAATCTGCATCATGACGATGCCCATTGAGGGCAAAAATCGAGTAATTAGTAAAAGAGAAAAAAAAAAGGGAATATATTCATCCATGCGCCAAGTGACTCGTAGCTCGTGGTTCTCCAATAGTCGAGGCGACGACGCCGCTCATTGGTTCCCTGCATTTTCCTATCCAGCCTGCCCTGCTCTCTCTACTTACAGCCTCTCCAGTCGTTAATATTGATACATAAACAAGGAATGCCGGGAGCCTAGTTATCAGGCATATTTCCTCAACTAAGGTGGATAAATGAATTAGCTTTGCTGCACACCAAAAGTAAAAGTGGCGGTTATCAAATGACTTACATCCAATGTTAGCGTTCGGGAGCTGTTCACCTCCTGGTCACGATATACGCCGACAAGACTCTCGCTGTCTTGGAAAAGACCGGCCTTCAAACTGATGACGATGAACTGCATGCCAGGGCCCGCGTGTTCCCGGATATACTTCTTGATCTTGTCCACATTGGCATTGTCCAATGCCGCGTCAACTTCGTCCAAGACAAAGAAAGGACTTGGCTGGTAGCTGTGGATGGCGAAGAGCAGCGCCAGTGCTGCCATGGTCTTTTCACCACCAGACAAATGCTCCATGTCTCGGAATCTCTTGAGCGGCGGCATGGCATGGTACTTGATACCTGACAAATAGGGCATGTCTGTGTCCTCTTCAATGTCTAGATAGGCCTGACCACCCAGCGGGTAAGCATCTGATCGCGTGAGATCCTTGTAGACGTTGGATATCTGCTCCTGGATGTGAGTAAAGGCCTTGTTGAACAGCTCGTATCTCTTCTGCTTGACGCTGTTGAAGGCTTCCTTCGCCTTGTGGGCCGTTGATTTCGAGTCTTCGTATTCTTGGTCCGTCTGTTTGAGCCTCGTCTCGACGCTTTCTAGTCGTTCCATGGCTCTCATGTTGGGATTCAGCTTCTCCAGCTCTGCTGCGAGGGACGAAATCTTCTCTGTCAACGTGTCCTCGACACTCGGCTCGCCCGACTCTTTCAAGTCTTCCTCCAGACCATCGAAATCGATTTCGATGCCATGATCATCCAGAGCAATATCCATCATATCTTCTCCGCCATCAACGTCCATGGCGTCCGGATCTTGTCGCAGTAAATCATCCTCTGTCGGCAGGTTGTCTAGAGCGCCTCCTGCCAACGGAATTTGGATCTGTTCGAGCCTGCATCTTCGCAAGAGTGCAGATTTGCCTGCGCTGTTCTTCTGCACGGTGGTTTCCAGGGCGTTAATCTCTCGCTGGCAGGCTTCGATGTCCTTGCTATGTTTTTGTAGCTCGGCTCGCGCCTCGTTGACCTTTTGGTTCTTTTCCAACTGCTCCGCCTTCATTTCTTCCAAAGCCTCTCCAAGAGCTTCCAGCTCGTCCTGGTCCTCGCGCATCGACTCTTCGATTTCGGCCTTTTCCTTGTTGTATGTCCTCATATCTTGCTTGAGACGTCGGACCTGATCCTGTATCCTCTTGATACGTGCTTCCGTGTCACTATGGCGTGTGACTTCCCACTTGAGTCGACTTTCCAGTCTCTGCCTCTGAACCTCGTATTGGTTGCGCTTCTCAGAAATCTCCTGTTCCAGTTTACCCTGAGAAGCTTCGTACGCGCGAATGTCGCTGTATCCAAGTTTCCTGCAGAACCCGTCAAAGATTTCATCCTCCACGCGCGCAATGGCGTCCCTAAACTCTTGGACCGTCTCCTTTGTACGGTTCAGTTGCAATGTTTGCTGCTCGTACTTGGGCTGCAGTTCCTGGAGCTGCTTCTTTTGGCTGTCCAGTTCGCGCTTCTTGCTCGTCCAGTTCTTGTTCAAGGCCGCCAGCTCGTCCCTAGTAGCCACTAGCTGCCGTTCAAGTCCATTGAGCTCGATGTGGAGAGATTCCTCCTGTGTTCCCCGACGATCCGCCTTAGGAAGGCGATCGATCTCGCTCTTCAACTTGGCTGCCATGCGCTGGAGATTCTGGACGTCGGCTTCTTCAAACTTGCGCTTTCCACCCTTAGGTTCAGGACCGCGACCTCCTGTCATCAAGCCAGCTTTATGGATGATGTATCCTTCCACCGTCACAGCCTTGACGGGAATTTTCTTGTCGTAGCAAATGTGCTTAGCAATATCAAGCGTATCACAAACCACAGAGCTACCGCATGCGTATGACATGGCCCTCTCAACCGATGCATCAAAGTTGATGGTGTCGATGGTGAGTCTCGCACCGGGGAAGCCCTTGATTGCGGTGTTGACAGCATTGACCTTGATGTTGTCCAGCGGAATAAAGGTCATGGGAGGAAATCTCTGTTCTTTCAAATACTGAACACAGTCCACACCGGTTTTTTCCGTATCGACAACTATGGAGTCAAAGTCTCTTCCCAAGGCAACAATGACGGCCTCGTCAAACTTCTTCTGTTTCGGTGTGCACAAGTTTCCGATGCGACCTCGAACTCCAGGGAATATACGCTTCAAAGTCGTCACCATTTCTTTCATGCGTACCTCTCGATCGTTTTGACGGCGGCCATCATCGGCTTCTCTCAGCTTCCTTGCGACATCCTCGAGCTTCTCTTCGAGCTCGGTTCTTTTTTGGTTAGTCCGGACTCGCTCGGATTGGAGCTGGTTGAACTCCTTCTTCTTGGCGGCGATGTCATTCGTAATGTCCTTGGTTGCAGAATCCGCAGCGCTTCGCCTCTCGCCGATGCTAGTCAGCTCTGCTTCCATTTTTTCAATGGTTCCCGAGATGCTGTCCACTTTGCCCTTGAGACTATTGACAGTGACGTCGTCTGCTTTCCTCTGTCGCTCAAGGTTCTCCAATTTTGCTTGGTTGGAGCCGGTGCGGGCCAAGACTTGGGCTCGGAGCGTGTTGTATTCTTTCCGGTCGTCGTCGCTAATGTCTCGGCCTTGCTTCTTCAGTTGATCCTTGATATCTTTTTCAAACAGCTCCTGTGCCTTTTTCACGCTCCCGATATCTTTCTGGACCTTTTGCACAATGTCTGTCTGTTCCTCGAGCTCCTTGCCGACTTTCTGTGCCTGAGCTTGGAGCTTGTCAATTTGCTGCGAAGACTCGTGGATTTTCTCGTCAAATGGAACCAAGGCGTTCTCCTTATCTTCGATGCTTCTTTCCTTGTGCTTGATGTCCTTTTCCGCTTTGCTGACCTGTTTCTGAACAGCAGATTGTTCCTTTCGAGCCGACTCAAGCTGAGTTTCAAACTCTTCCACGTTTCTCCGCATCTCTTTTAGGTCTTCGTGGTGGTCTTGAATAGCGGCGCTTGAATCGTCCATGGCTTTCTGAAAATGGTATAGCTTCCAGAGGCAGTGCGTAACAATGGCCGCATCTCTTTCCTCCGTTTTCTTCTGAAAACTGTCTGCCTCCTTCTTTTGCTCCCTATACTGCTTGATTTCGGAGTTGATACCACGGCGGCGATGGAACTGGAAGTTTTGGTTCTCGATGGCCTGCTCTGCCTCGACTTGGAGCTTTTCGTACTCAGTTTTGTATTCCAGACTTCCCGAGATCTGCTCAATGAGCCGCGTAAGGTCCTGCGGAGACTGCGAAGCAATGGCTTCGACATCACCCTGGAAAACGAGGAAATTGCGGGCCTTGATCAGGATATTTTCCGTTTCCAGCGCATCGTTGTATTGCTGAGCCGTAACCACCCGATCGTTGATGCGGTATTCACTGGCTCCTCCACTCGTGATGGTCCTCTTCCACCTCTGTTCTTCGCCAGCGTCGTCCTCGTATACCGCCATGACCCAGGCGGTCTTTGGATCGCCTCGAGACGCCTTATCGTCATCGGCAAAATTGCTGGCGTCTGCAGTTGCTTCAGCGGAACCATCGTCGTTGATTTTTGAAGTTTTCAGGACACGCCCTCGGTAGACGAGTTCTTTCAGGTGCGTGGATCGCAAATGAGAAGACTTGATGCCAAGGACGAAGGAGATGGCGTCCATACTATGCATCCGTGGTATTAGCATACCGGGAAAACGAGGTGACATGCGGATTTGACCACAATGACTTACGAATTTGATTTGCCGGATCCATTGGGCCCGATGATGGAAGTGAAGTAGGAATCGCCAAACAAGAGGGTGTGGTGGCCCTTGTAGGACTTGAAATCTTGAGGCGCATTGTTAGTCGAAGCGGGCAGCGGCAAACAGAGATTCGAACAAGACGTACTGTGCAGCTCGAGGCGTATGAGTTTACCCATGGTGAACTAGATGCCGAGTCTGGACTGCTTAAGATGCAAAACAAAGTGCTGGAGGCGGTGCGGCTCTGGCGACTGGAGCACGCGCGGAGAGCAATTCAAGATGTTGACAACACCATTCAACTTCAACGGGGATGATTCGGCACTCTGGGCTCATAGACGGCGTCGCGTAAATCAAAAGTATCTCGCACAGGACATGAGACGCCAGCCCTTCATGCTAGAAAATACCAAGCGGTGCTGCTGAGAGTTGCGCAGTGCAAGATGGAGATGGCACTTGACGCGTCGCGAACTTGGCGATTCCGTATAGCTCACTAAATCAGGTAGCACCACTAAGAGCCCAGGACTTCAATGGCCTAGTACGGAGCACAGCGCTGTAAAATGGTGGGGGGTTATCTAGTAGGGCCGTTTTCTGCTCAACCAGCAAACCGCTAGAACTAGCATCAACAGAGAGAGCTGTGATGGGCCGGACTATTCTATTCTCCGCATTCCGGCGGCCGGTACTCGTCAACTCGCCCTGCTTGTTCTCCATCAATTGCCAGCTTGTTTTCAAATTTGAATTGACTTGGATTGAATCACGTGACTCGCTCCCCCATTCATTTCAAACAGCCGGACACATGCCACCGCCAGCTGACTCAAGGCTGGAGGTTTTGCCCTGTTAGCGCCCAGCCAGCCGTGGTGCTGTCTCGTCCAACCAGAGAGCGGAATGGCAGCACCTGCTATCCAGCAATGGCTCTGGGTCTACCAAGAATCTTGCCCTTCCCAGCTTCTCGCCTTGTGGAAGAAGGAGAAAAAAAAAGATTCAGCACCTCGGCGGACAGCAAGGTCAGGTGGACAAGACCACTTTGATTTTTCTTTTCTCTTAGCCGCGCCTGGTACCTAACAGTAGCACTGAGGTATCTACCTGGTATACCGCAGATATATCCATCCAAGTTCGGCTTACAGCTACCTCCTGGTACCTTGGCAGTAGATTGGGCTGCTGCGCACAAGACCTTTTCAGCATGCATCTCCTGCTTCCATTTCCCTCTGCCATCGGGTAGCCGTCCCAAAGTTGCATGTGAAAATGTCACCAGCCCAATGAGAGACCACTGCCTCTATTTCCAACTGCTTACCTAGCAGTACTTGATGCATGTACACTCTTTGTTGGGTGCAGGGGTCCTGGAGCCGCTAAGGCAGCTGGAGCATGTGGAGTTGGCGGGCTGCCGTGTTCTGAAATACTTGGCTCGCTTCATGGTGGGCGACCGTGAGAGAAAGCGTTACTCAAAGCTACTCGCCTTGTGCAATCTTTCTAGGATCGCATGCTTGTACATCCAAGTACTCTCATGTAGCACCCGGTACTTGTTAACTGCGGTGGACTCGCCGGAAGGGTAATCACATGGGTGCCAACAACACTTCCAAGGCGTTTCGCGGATGATCATCGAGGGCAGCGTCAGTGGTCGTTTAGGCTCGTGTCGACCTGCAACCTAAAAGAGAGTCTCCTCTTGTTTTCTTCCAGGCTTTTGTTTTTCTCGAGTCATCTCCAGACATTTCCAGCATCAACGACACTTCGCTGCTGGCGGTCCTTCTCCCTCCCCTTCCCTCCATCCTCTCCTCCCCTACCTACCTCACCTTATTGTTCTTTTCTGCTTCCTAAGCTATCCGTGTCCCCTTGACCCACGTGTCGATCTGTCGTCAATTCGTTGTCATTGCATAAAGTGTCAATTTTGCCACCGCTGCTGATAACAACGTTCAGTTTCGCTGCTCTGGACGTCATTATTTGATCTGGCTTCGCTGCCGATTATCGTGGGCCGTTTACCGTGTCAGATCATTCGGACTGCGTACTACTATATGGGTTCATGAACAAGGTGCAAGCCCAGCCCTGACCCCCTCCAAAATGGACGAAGAAACTTCGACGCCTGTCTCAACACCGGGGACCGGGTCGACCGTCAACGGAGACCGCTCGGTGCCCGCCATGGCAGAGGCCGAGCTTGCTTCCCCCCTCTCATCGCCCATGGATGCCGAAATCTTCGACTCCCCCAGTCTCAGTGCCACGACTCCCAAGAGCCACAGGCTTTCAAGGAATCCTTCTTTCTCCGGCAGCAGCAGTACATACCAGGACGACTGGGATGCCCTCCCGCCGCTTGACCGCTTGACCGTCCTCGACCTGTTGGACAACTTTGCCCTGCCCCAACAGCTCGAGAAGCTCCAGAGGGGCATCTCTGCCCAGACCGACAAGGTGCGACGGTCTCGAGATGCCTTCAAGTCGAAAACCCAGAATGCCCGCGACCGAATGGTGGAGGAATGGAGGCGGCGTGTCCCCTCGGCCGATGAACAGCTCGAACGATACAGGAAGCGCATGAGGCAGCGAGTTGAGAAGCTCGGCAAGCAGTGGAACGATACAAAGGCCATCAGCCTCCGAGAGAAGATATCCTTCATCTGCGGCGTTATGAACATCTTTGCGAGCGGATATCTGATGGGTGGCTATCCGGAGTGGTTTCATATCTGGTATACGGCCCAGCTCATATACTTCATGCCCATTCGTATCTTCACATACCATCGACGTGGATATCACTACTTCTTGGCCGATCTCTGCTACTTTGTCAATGTGCTGCTGATGCTGAGTCTCTGGGCCTTCCCGCAATCGAAGCGGCTCTTCACGGCCGCCTACTGTCTGGCTTTTGGAAACAATGCTGTGGCAATCATCATGTGGCGTAACTCGTTGGTATTCCACAGCTTTGACAAGGTCACATCGCTCTTCATCCACATCATGCCTTGCGCGACGCTTCACTGCATTGTCCATCTCTACCCCCCCGAGCTGCAGGAGACACGCTTCCCCGCCATCTGGGCCATCAAGACCGCGAACCCTGGATCTCCTACAGCATACGCCAACGTCTTGTCTATGCTCGCGTGGAGCACGATTCCATACGCAGTCTGGCAGCTGAGCTACTACTTCTTCATCACCGTGCGCCGAAGGGAAAAGATTGCTGCCGGCAGGCCCACATCCTTCACCTGGCTTCGAAGATCCTATGCAAAGACCTGGATTGGCAAATTTGTCCTCGCTCGCCCGGCCGCGCTACAGGAGCCGACGTTCATGATGATTCAGTACTTCTATGCCTGTCTTACTATTCTGCCATGTCCGCTTTGGTTCATCAGCCGGTGGGCATCCACTGGCTTCTTGCTTCTCGTTTTTGGCTGGAGCATCTACAACGGCGCAACGTTCTACATCGATGTCTTTGGCAAGAGATTCCAGAAGGAGCTCGAGGCTATGAGGGCAGATGTCATCAAGTGGCAGAACAACCCAGAGACTCTGCTCCAATCGCCTCAAATCGCTCCGCACATGGATGGTCCTCCCGTGCAGGCCACGAGTCTGGATGCCCAACTGGCACCCTCACCAATGCGACCCGACGCCGGAAAGAATCGCTCCACTAGCTTGGATAACATACCACTACTAGACGAGAACTCCCAGGTTGGCGCAACTGGCGTGGATAAGGGAGACGAAGGTGCTGCGAGGGAACGGAAACCGGGTCAAGAGTAAAGAGACCGTTGCAAGGAGTCGAGGGCGATGACGTCGTCTGATGTCATACACCTGGATATAACAGCAAGATGAGGATATACGAGTACAGAGCGGGAAACGTGAGCCGGGGTTCTTAATGTATCTTTGGAATGATATCCTATGGGGGGTTTTTTTTTCGAGAGTCTTACGAGAGTCCATTTTCATAGCGGCAAAGGGAGTCTGTAGCTGCTACAACAGGGGGGAACACTTGAGCGTGGGTTTGTTTGGATGACGGATTTGGAGTATCCTTATGTTTTTTGAGAGCTGGGATTCCTTTTGTTCTTTATAACGTCTTGCCATGTATTTATTGCTCAATGATTATGAACTTGCTTCTTTTTCTTCACACATTGTCACACATTTACAAATCATCATCATCACCAGCACTCGTTGGCAAAGTGTACAATCATCAAAGTGTAGATACGTAATATATTTTGTCTCTGGTTCATGATCAGACATGTTTCTTCTGTCCTCTCTATAGATGCGCTTAGCTGCCGTGAAGCAACAACGTTAAAAACCGCTACCAGGACGATTTTTCCTTCTTGTCGTCCCAATTGACTTCTCGCCCTTGATCTGCGAGGGGGAGGTTTCAAATAAAAGCCAATGACCGCCCCTTTGGGCTTTGTTATATAGAAAGCCCAACCCAAACACCAGAAAAAAAAAGTTGGTTTACCATGGTCATGAAAAGAGTGGCTCCCTCATCACCACCGCGCCGGATTATGCCAAATGATACAATCGAATGAATAGTAAAGACGTTATCGCGTTTCCCTTCCGCACGTTCAATATCCCAGAGCTGGCGTGGAAGCTCGCTCGCACGCACTGCCAAACGACACACAACTCCTCGCGTGAAAAAAAAGAACCCAAAATAAGAGCAAACCCAAAAAGGGTGCGTTGAAAAAAAGAAGGTACGAGACGCCCCGGGTATAAACATAGAAGATAGAGCATCTTGTCAAAGGAGAGATATGAAGTCAATCAGATTATCTTGTCCTCTTTATGACTTGATCAGCCACGAGTTAAATTTCATCGAATGATGCCCCAGTCGGCGAATTTGCCGCCTCCAGTCTCACCATCCTCGCGAGTGCCGGGTCGTCGCCCGAAACAAGACCAGAAACGTAAAGTCTCGTCACCGGCTCCCGTCACGATGACTCGGCCGTCGGGGCTCATTGCTAGGTACAGAACACGATATGTGTGTCCCGTCAAGCTGGCTACTTGCGTCATGGACGGGTACTTCCACACAACAATCTGGTTCTGGCTGTAGCCATGGGTCGAGACGATTTCGTTGGAGTTTTTGGACCAAGCAAGATTGCACACCTGGCTTCCGGTGTCGATTTCGTTAACAACGGTTCCCTTGACCGTGTCGTGAAATATGATGCGCCTGTCGGCTGTACCGCCACCAGAGGCAAGCAAGCCTCTCTGGTGCGGCGACCAGGCAATAGCCTTGACGGCGGCGTTGTGATCTGAGAATTTCCACAGCGGC